TTATTTGTATCTTTAGATGCACCTCGTGGAAGGAAAAAGAGGAAACCGTATACGAGATATCAAACGATGGTGCTAGAGAATGAGTACCTCGTGGCCACGTATATCACTCGCCAAAAGCGATGGGAGATCTCATGCAAACTCCATCTAACAGAGCGCCAGGTTCGTGATTCTAGGTCGCTTATTGATCATACCTCTGGACATTGCGGTTAATGGGTTAACTGTTTCTTTCCCAATAAAAGGGGGATAATGCCTTGTGCCCTAGTTATCCTAGTGAGAACGCGTTATTTGAACGAATTTATTAACATTTTAGTCCAAATCTAAATATCCAGCAACTATCGTAATGCTTTCATAGTTTACTCAACCCTAGGTTTGATTACGTTGCGCCTGAGTCCATGCAGATTCTGCTTCCGCTCGGTGGCATGGCCTTGGGCTATGCCAGTAGCTTTAGCCATTTTGAAGGACTCGAGGCCCTGCAATTCCAGTCTTCTTATATGAGATTTGAGTATTAATGAGATATTTCTTCTTGAGGTATAATGTGTTAGATTAATAATAATATTTGTACAATTACCCCAAATTTTGGCATATGAATGTACATGTAGTTATAAGCCCAAATTCTTGCGGATTATTTAAGGAAGGAAATGTTATGAAGACTTATCTAGAACGGAAGAGGTATGCATTACGAGTAAATTAATCCCCATCCTAACCCAATGAAGTATGAATCATCATAAGATCAGTTGACGTTTTCTGAATTGAGGATCTAGTCTTAGGTAACAAGGATTTCCACATTCAAGTAAACGTAGCCCAAGTTAATATTCTAAACTAGTTGTCAAGGCAGAGCAACTAAGGTTAATTTGGCTTATTTTAGAGCGGGGCTTTCCTTTTTTATCAAAGTTAATTATCTGGTGCTGTTGAGTTCATCCATACTTCTTGATACCACCACGAGGCAAGTGCTTTAACAAATCGATGGATTCTTTACTTTGTACAAAGAACTACTCATCACTTGTTATTTTTTTAAAAACCCGTGAATAGATTAAATTTGTGATCCAGGTCTGCTAAAACATGCATATTTAGGTCAAGGTATGGTTCCAAAATCGAAGAATGAAAAGCAAAAAGTTGCAAGCCCGCGCTCCAAACTTGAATAGTTCAAACAGCAAACATGATAATAGTGGAGCGGAGGAGGGACATGGTGGTGGAGCTGGTGATGGAGGCGGAGGATCCCGCAGTGGATGCCCCAGCACCGTTTCAAGTTTAGACTCGGGTGCTCCATCACAGCACCCCAACAATCTGCAGCCCTCGTACAATAGTTCTGGTGGCGTAGGTGGATCTTACCCCGGTGTTCCACCACCCTTTCACTTTACCTCCGCTATGAAGATGGATCCCAGCAAGAGTCCCGCCCAACAGTCGGATGGAAAAGACTCAATCAATAACGATTTTGCAGCTTCCACCAATAACTCTCAGCTCCCAGTGATCAACCCCTTTGAGCCATCGAAGTTACAGCCACCTCAATCAGCGGTATCAGGGACATTTGATCCCTCCAGACGGTTTGATATGCCCTACTCTGGTGGAATTCACATGCCACCACCTCCACCACCATTTAATTCAACTACGGTGGGTGGGCCACCTTTTCAGCTGCCGCAGTTTTTGCAGCATTCGCAGCCACCGCCACCGCCTCCATGAATGCCTGATATTTGAGAGAAGAGAAACCAAATGATCCTAATGGCCAAATGCACCCTGAAGTAATCAAAAGTAGAACTTTTTACTGTTCCCAAACTGCACGTGCCATGCACTCCAATAATCACCAAAATACAGTCGTTTGCACACACACATCAAAACTGTCCTTTTGCTTCGCTAAGAAACTTATTCTGCCTACATCCATCCTTTTCTGATATCAAGCGGAAAAAAGTGTACATAATTCTAGAGATATGCAGATACAACAGTTTTTTTCTTCTTTTCTGGTTTACGGCTTTGCACCATAACAATTCCGAAGTTCAGGGACTATTGATGTTTAGTGAACGAAGAATAAATTATGCGCAAATTTTAAAGGTGTAAATCAAATGTAGGCATAATTACTTAAAGCGCATCGCATTTCCAATAGAATTAGTAGCCGATGTTTCGGAATCATGAAGTAGGACAATGTTTAAGTCTCACCTTGAATAAGAATAGTACTTAACTTTACTACTTTTGGAGAATGCTTACTGGAACCACGACCAAAACTCTTGTCTCCTGGTCAATATATGATGGCTCGCTTGCAAATAAGTTGTGATTTTGCCTATGGGGGAAAAATTGGGTTTTTGATGCAATGGGGTAAACATTTTGGGAATGCCTAAGAATCGTTCGGTTCCAGCAATCCAGTTCTAATTTGTCCGCTTAACAACTATGTCATAACTACTTTTTTTTCATTTAAAATGAAACTTATATTCAAACTTAATAAGTTCCGACCTCTTTTTACAATAGGATGGTGGCTTTGTGCGACAGAGAATGGGAAGGCTTAGGATTATCTTGGAAACCGCGTACATCCGTAACCTTAATGACGCGCATTAATAAACCGTTAAAATTGGCATTCTCACTGTCCCATATACCCAGTTTTCCCACTCTCGATGGGGTAAAAACTTCACTTCAAATAATCGCATAATTTTATTTGCTTCGCTGTCAATGATATCGATTATGCCTTTTCATTAATAAGAAAGCTTGTCAAATTGTACAGCAGATAGAAGAATGCGTCGCACCTGCAAGCGCCTAGAAGACTAAAATGTGAGCTCGTAGGTTCGAAAAGGTTTACGTCATACATGCCGTGACGGGACGTCGATATCGCGGATTCTGGGCTGGCTGGCAAATTGAGACGTCTTCAGCTAGAAGAACCGTAAAAAGAGCAGGTTAGAAGATAATCAGTATACATCATTCATGGCTTGGACAAAAGGCCACTGATTTCAAAACCGGGCCCCAACACTTCAAGGGCGCGTTTTCAACTGTTAATTCATACGAAATTAAAGGTATTAGAAAGAACATACAACCACTCCATTGGATATGTAATCTTTAAAGCCAAAGTTGAATCCTAGGTAAATATATAGGAAATTTTACTCAAAGTTGGTCTTAAAGTTGTTCCTGAAATGAAGCCATGGAATAAAAAAAATAAGTTTACGCCATTTGAAAATATTGAGACAACTAGGATACCAAATCGAAAATAAGCTTTTCCAAATTTTCAGCTATCTATCTACCTGCCTACGATCAATTAATGGGCAAAATACATAATGATAGATTCAAGAAACACATAAGAGTTACAAGAGTTGAATGTTACACAGTTTAGTGCAGTTATTTATTTACGAGTTAAATAAAGTAACACTGATTCAGAGTATGTTAGGCTTATTTAAACCGAAATTGGATGTGCTTACATATACCTTGGATAAGTGATACAGAAGAGCGGCTTAAAAATAGCTTATTCTACTCCAGTGTAATCTCACAAGGTGTCGCAGCTACCTCAGAACTTACTTATAATTTGATGAGTAGTTTGGAATTGCTACGTTTCAAAATCCCGTGCTCTATTCAAGACAACGTAGCTTTTACCTAAAACACTTATTGTATTTTATCGAGAAAACATAAGCGTCTACAAAGGAAAAAATCTTAAGGGGCGATGACGTGTACATACTACTTTCCTAGTACGCAAAAAGTTGCGTTAAATTTACTTTGACAATTTTATGATGCAATATAATGGAAAATTTGTGAAAATTTGTTTTTTACCACTCAAGACATCTAATAGTAATGGTCCAGCAAAAATAGGTTTCCATTTCTAATTTCGTGAAAGGAGGCATAACATCAAATGGTTGGTACTCCTACAATGACGAAACGTCATTTCAATTCTTTTCCAATTTTATAGTTATTGTCGTTTAAACATACCTATAGATGGAGCGAGCTGCCAATCATGATCCTTTTTAATGCACGCACATACGGGGTCGGTCTTGATGAGTTTGAGATTAGTTTCGGGTATGGATGACGACGACCACTGGCGGGTACACTCAGGCGAGCAAGTGAAGCTTCCGGTGACCTCCACTGAGTTGAGAGGCTCCTTTCTGAAGTTAGCTCCGTCAGTAGCGTAATAACGATAGGTAGATTTTACACAATTTACGTAGTCAACTTCCTGATCCAAAGCAAAGGCATCTACGACGTAAAATAATGAACAACTATCCGAAATTGAAACGACTGGTATGATGTTACGGTCTAAAGTAATTTTGTAGCAGCACTGAAGGTCGTATAACTATGCTGTATGTTACCATGGGAGAAAAAATAAACCCCATCACTTATAAAGGAGTGTTTCTAAATTTTCCAGCCAAAATTGATAAGAATGGACAGAAAAGAATACATTAAGTCCCATATTATGTATGAATTTTCAAAACAACTTACTGATACATAGTTGTAAAAAAATCACGAAAACACTAAAATATAAAAATGTAATGGTCTTATATTCCATTCAATCCAAAGAATGCGAGATAACGGATTTAATGCCCACTCACTTGGTTAATTTGATAATGACTGCCGAGATTTTTTGAAGGACTGAGAGCCAGAAACTGGGATAAAACACTTGACAAAGGCCTCTGACTAAGTTCTGTAGAGATAATCGTGTAAATCATCTGGGAAAGTAGGGCTTATGCCAAAAGTAAGCAGCACTTACAGGTAGCAAATGAGTTGCGGGCGAAGTTGAGTTCTTCTTACCGAGATGAGCAAAATCGCAGACGGCTTGATAATCGTAATACTTCACTCTAAAGAAAGTAGGATAACATCGAAGGGAGCAAAGTGGATGTGTAACAACTTGATGGAAGTTTTATAGGTATATCTTTTAACTGGTACTAAACAGACGTGAAGCGGAGAATCCTTACAAAAGACCTAAAGCTTATGTTTTACCAAGAATTTTGAACCAGACTAGACCATCAGCGCGACCAAAACAGTTGATGTGGACCTACAATATAAAGTCCCAAATAAGTCCCAGTAATCATTATTTTGAATTGGAAATGATACTCCTAGTTCATCTCTCTAAATAGAGGCTCAGGCCCATACACACTGAGAGTACCATGTAGGCACCGAGAAACCAATTGAAAGAGGTGAACCTGGCAATTACTAAAATTACATTAATGCTAGTCATTCTCTGTTTAAAATGTAGTATTTCGAGTCATCATAACGCCAATACGGAAATCACGTGGACGCGTCTTCGTCTACAGTGTATTTGGACACAAATATTTTTGGGGGTCGTTAATGTGATATAAATCGTAAGGTGAAAAAGCGCGCGATCCATGTGAAATCCGATGGAAATATACCTGCTGTAAACTGAATTTTCCAGAAGAGATTCCATCAGCGGCGGGTCAACATGTCCAAGAAAGTGTCCAACCTTAAAAAGTGAGAAATCAAATTATAGTGTAAACAATTACTTTAATAACGTTACCTTTTCAATGAACTCATGGACTCAACAGAATATGGCGCAATGCATTGACACTACACTAAAATGTTCCACAGAGGCTAGGACAGACCTAGGAGAATGTTAGGTCCAAAAGCAAAAAGATTGTGTCCTAGAAGATAGCCCAATAATATAGGTCCTTATTAATGCGGTTAAAGTTTTTTTCAGAAAACTGAAAGTTCATTTTAAAGTGTTTGTACTTTTATGGAAATAGTAGTGCGTCACAAAGTGCACAGTAATCGTACATTGTTTTGTTTAATGCGGGGCAATTCCCATATTAAAAAACAGGTGGTGAAACACTTAAAGCTAATGCTTTTCTATCTCTGATACGAAATCCTCAACTTAAACACTTATCTCTACCGCGATGCTAAAATACCAAACACAAATAGCGACCACAATGAATTGACAACAATTTGTATCATTGAATTACCTGATAATTCAATCGTTCGTTATTTACAGCCATGACGAAAGCTGCATCATCAAGTAGGTAGCAAGTGTGCTCGTGGTTGCAACGCGAAAAACGCCTCAAAACTTCCTGCAAGTAGGTTCCGCCCAAAGTGAGGCCCGCCACTAAATCGGAAGTGTAAATTTCACCTCTATTCCGTCACCAGAAAATGCATGTGGATAGCAGCAGAAATACTGTTCTTCACCTTTAATTTACAATGATCTCGCATAAATTCAATAGCGTTGCTTAGAAATAATATTGAGATCTTGATAAGCTGAATTCTCTTGACTGCCATGCTGCTTAAAGAGAAAAAGTAAGAATTCAATGATAAGTATTTAATGACTCGTTCATATTTTTGCTGTTTTGGTTGTAAGTTTGGACAAATAATCGATGGAATTTCCAAGTATAGCAAGGCTGAAGAACAAGAACATTGCTGATCCAAAACGGATATACGATGTTCACGGGTGCAAATCATTGCTTTGTTGGCGCCTTTAAACTTTAACTCTTACCTGCAAATGTGTTTGTAAGTCCATTTTGTGATGCCTGAGCACCTAGAAACACCGTTACTTTTGGCAAAGGGACAAGTTGCGGCTCAGGTGTAGTGTGTGCAGCTGCTTGAAATTCTGCGGTGAGACCTTGGGACTTCTCCGTCGAAAATAAAGTAGATGTGTTTTCTGTCATTAGTGCATTCGTTTCCTGGGACCCATCGAATGTAGAACCGACATTTTTGCTACTCTCTGACTGTATTGAATCGGTAAAAATCCTCGAAGTTGTCTCCGAACCATCCACTGATGGGAGTGTTATCGCGTTTGCTTCAGCCAATCCAGTAGATTCGTTAAAATCCCTTTTTATATGTAGCGCGCTCAAACCTGCACTTTTTGAAGTAGTCAAATCATCTGTATTTCCCTCCACATAGCTGACATCGGACACCATGGTCCTCAGGGGTGGTGGATAAGATGAGACCCCTGAGACCGCGCGCCTCCATAAGCGCTTCATTTCTGACACATCCGACGTCAGTGCCACTTCGCCATCAGAAGTTACGGCTTGGTAAAAAATAGTCATTTTTAAGTCCAGGTTAATGTGTGCCGAAAGTCTAGAACCAGGGCTTTGGGGCTCATAATATATGGTGAGATTGGAGAATGTTGACAGCTCTGTTTCATCAACATTTGAAAGGTGCTTCACATAAACAATGTTTAATCTGATCAAACTACATTTCCAAGCCTTAATGAGGATATTCCACTTAGTTTATCAAAGAATTAAATTATGCATGAATTTGGAAATTAATACAGCCCCAAATTTATGTTTGTTTACAACACAATGAGTCTTATTTTTATTATACTGTAAAATCAACAAAAAATTGTATTCCATTGAAAATGACAATTTTACAGCCTTTAAAGAGACAGTTAATGCACATTAAAAATCACTAGAAAAACCAAAATTTGTGAAGAATGGTAGGTGTTTAATAAAATGATTTCCCATGATAATGAGAAGTAAAAACACTTGTCAGAACACAGAGTTCCCCAAATGTCTATATTCTGCATAAAATCTTTACGTTATGACCACGTACCATAACCCGGCGCATAGTTATTTAAAGACAAATTGAGGTCAGAGTTCACAATAGACTTAACCAACCCGCATAGCATACAAAACCTAGGATTAGTGCACAGAATCTAGAATTTATTTGCCAGTTTTTAAATGCACGCAAAAGTCAGTGCTCAAAACCTGATGAAGAGTAACAGTCAACAGTGATACCTTCGACCCTCGTAAAGCAAAATGTAAATGCGGAGAAAATGTAACCCTTGATTGAAACAAACTGAACAGTTCCTTATATAAAGAATTCAGTAAACACATTTCAAATACCACCGTTTTGTGGCAGTGTTCTCCATAACACCAGAGAAGATCAATAAAAACTACGGAACGATATCCAAAATTTGCATGAAACCACTCTATCGACTCTTTAACATGTAAATTACTCTGGTGAATAATCAGTCACATTAAGGCGAAAAATTAACACTCCGTTATTTTTGCGTCGAATCCCAAATGCTTCGATTTGTCAATTAATATTCTCGTCACTAAGGATATGACTGATACCTCTATCCCGCCACTCAGAACAAATTTGACTTAAATTAAGAAAAAATTTAGACGTTATCACTAATTCGTCATTAATGATACCAAATTATGGCAAATAACAGCCAGAGAAATTCAAATATTAGACTATACTTTCTATTGCTCTAATTGCTAAAGTCGCTCTAAAAATTGATATTTAAATAATAAATAGACAAATAGGCATAGAGTTATATTCTTCAAAGATTTGGACGTGGTATTATTGAATAAATGTAACGGTTTCATTATGAAGTGGTGTGAGCATCCAATAATACACACATTATAGAAGTAGAAAGTAAATGTGCTGAAATCGATAAATATGGGGAAATGCAGTGAGACTAGGTCCGCTACATATGAGTACTATTAGAAATGTAAAAAATTGTACTTCAAAATTCAAACTCAGCTGTTTACGTCAGACCGTATAAATAAATAATGTAGCGGAAAAAATTAACAACTTCAGTTCTAAGAAGTTGGTCAACATTTGCAAAACCTCTAAAATGTTTATGGGAAAAGCGGATAGGAGTGAATGTCAAATAAAACCATAAAAGCAATGTGAAAAAAGACCTTGTTAGAATCCAGCGAATAAAAACACGATCTGTTTTACAATTTTGTATGCATAATAAAATATCACTTGAGATGTTTTCGCGGTCCGGAATTAATAAGGTATATATGGTTGCTGTTATTAAATTAAATTCAAAAGTTACGTTAAATCTTTGTTGTGATAAGTAGTGTTTTCAGTAAGCCATAGGAAATAAAAGCATTAGTTTGTAGGCGGTATAGTGATATAGGCCCATATGCATTGACTAAGTTTTTTTGAATGCACGCGCATTTAAAATGCAATCCTACTCAACGCGATATCGAGGCAAAAAAGCAAGTTCGGCTCGTTGAAAATACAAGTTTCGGTAGGCTTATTGAGTCGTTTACTACTAGTCATTAAAAGCTCTGAGATGGAAGTTCAGGCAATGCAACAACTCAAGAGATCAGTCGTACACTATCAAGATATTTACAAGTAATGCTTAGCATTAAACTTGAAATAGCCTTTACCCATCTTATAAATGATCAATTGAGGACACAAATCTATGATCCAAATGCAACCAAAGGTGAAGTTTTTCCATAAAAAAAAAAATATAAATTCTAAACAGAACCTAATTTTTGGAACTGGCTCTAAGGTCTGAAAATGTGCGAAGCTAAGCACTAGACACAAGAATCACGCGCCTTTTTTGCATCGCCTGACTTTAAATTTGAGACATTGGTCATACACTCAGAGAGCAATACTTTCAGATACAGGGTGGTCCGAGCTGCTGCAATACTGCAGATAACGGTAAAATTAACTAATGCTCAAAAATAATTGATAACATCCGAAGTTGAAGCTTACTTATTTTTGAGGATGTTACATCGATGCTTGAAGTCTCCCATGACTCCGAAGCTAAAGGGCAAAAAAATCAATCAAAGAGTAAAATTAAAATTAAAATATGCGAATCCTACACGCGACTAAGTTTGGAGTTTAAGGTCGCAAATTTCGGGTTAAAAGTTACTTCTGATCCGCAACACCCATAGCCAAAAACAACGTCCAAGGTAACACTATAATTTTTTTGCACGCGCGATGCGACTTCTGATACCTCAGTACCTCCTATTGATAGCGAAAGTTTCAAAATCATGTGAGAAGAATTTGTAACGTGAATGTTACAGCGCTAAAATTACCTCATTATTTCAGACATGTTGACTAAAACGATACTATTTTTTTCTAGTTAAAACACGGATGTGACTAGCAATAGCAAAATACACTAATAGTTGACATTATTTTTTTACATTGTTAAATATAATTAGACCACAAGTTTGATCACAACAAGGATTTCATAAATGCAAAGCAGCTACAAAAATGATATAGCGTAAAATAATTTGGTAATGAAATACCAACATTCACTCATTACTAACGCGATACAAATCGATTTTAATGTTACTGGTTGCTCTTAAAAATATTCACTACGATGCAAAATTTGGAGATCAGGCCATCTTCCAGCCGTAGATACATGTTTAGAAAAAGGATTTGTAATGATAATTGCTTGTTTAAGCGACCGCTTTTTCAGAAACCGAAAGAATTTCTGAAGAAAATGAAAGTGAGCATAGGCTAGTACTGTATTTGGGGAAGTGAAGTGAATATATAATCAAAAAGAGTTCATTTAACGCCCACTCTTATGAACAGATTGAGATATTTACAATGTTGATAAGTCAGACCAAGGGGTTATGTCTATTCAAAAATTTGTTTTTTTCTCTACTTAAGGCTATAGTATAGCTGTTTCTTTGATATTGCGGTTTAATAGAATATGTTCCTCAGGTAATACTGAAAAAACTAATTAGAAATTCGTACATTCATTGGGACTCATTATTGATTGGGAAGATGTCCAAGAAGTCGAAGTAATAGGACCTAAAAGGAATTCGTTCGATAAACAAATGTGTTCATAAACTTGACGATACCGCTCTGTTAATTATTAGAGGCAACAGCATCACCTGAGGACAATCATTTAGGTCGAAAACGAAAGAAGTTGGCAAATCACAAGCATTTTTAAAACCCAAAGACGAATCCCCAATGTACTAGTTAAGATTCATTCTATCCATAATAAAAGCTGTAAACATTAGAATCAACTATATCAAGCGATTCAGATATATTTAGTGGTTGCTGAATGGTAGTAGTATGAACTATTGAAAGGCATGCATAACAAGATCAGATTACCTCACATTAACCTTAAGGAAAAAACCTCCCTTCCTTGGTTAGCTTCTAGAGGAGCAACTCATTTTTGTATTGGTCAGCAAGATAGTTCATTGTTAGCAAAAGTGATCAGCATAAATACTGTGGGATGACACTTTAGTGCAATGTCAACAAACGAATACGTTACTTGATGGCGGCATTGTTGAGGAAAAAGTGAAGAATGAGTGTTCCCCTGAATCCGGTAGGAGTGGTTCTGCGCAGTAAAAAAACCTATGCTACATAAAACATCGTCTTAGAAACTATATTTTCGTTTAGTTTGAATAAATACAAACATTTCCTCAACAAATTACTAAAAACACTTGAAGGCACTGTGGTAATATCTTAATAAAAAAAATGATTAAGGTGTCGTAAATAAATCCGTCCGCTCATTCCAAACAGTTTTATGCAAACTTCAAGACGCCGATACCAGAGCTGTATCTCGGTTTCGCCTAGGCAAAACCTTGCAGAAAATTTTTCAGCTATTTAATTCTAAGTAAAGTCTCAATGTATTGCACCTTGCTAAGCAGCTGACCGAATTAACAAAATGTTATTTACTGTGGAGGAACAGCGAATAATTTGGAACGTTCCTGTGTGAGAAAATTCTCGTAAGCCACTTTTAACTTCCCATAATGAAACCTCGTAATTGTCAGGAACTTTAGAAATTGTTATTTAGTCGGCGGGCCTGCGAATGTTCAAAAGTGAAATAATTTTATGCAAAAAGAGAACATATTCTCAAGGTAACATTTGAAGAACTAACTGACCTGTCAACTTCGGCTGAGTCCAAAACAATAATCCGTGTGAATCAAGTACACGTTGCCAAATCGAGGAGTTGGCAAAGTCGGCTGTCATAAGTGGTTCGAACTCCTGTTTTGCGCTACAAAGGTGTAATTAAAGTTTAAAAAGCAAAATCATAATTTGGTGATTGCAGAACAGTTTACCGGTGCCTGTTTATAGCAGTCACCGAGCATAACAAAATATGAATAAAGTCCTGTAAGTTCATTTTTAAAAAAATCCTTTAACTGAGATGTATTTTTCCCAGAGTAATCTTCCTGAATAAAGTAGTTCTGGTCAACGAATTTGCCAGTTGAGTAGCCCCTAAGCGATTTACGAATGGCAACGTACTGCGAGGGATAGATGAATCCAAGACCAGAGGTGAAGAAAACCGAACGAGCGGCGACATACTTGGACATGCGCGACGATCCCCACGCACGTAAAACATTCAGACCAACGAGAAGATCCGACATAAAGTGACCTTCGTAAAAGTTGTTACCTAAAACAAATGCCTTTACCGTTATGCGCTGCTCAATCCTATTATCGGGCCGCAGCAGCAGTCACATCTAAAATACAGATCATTTTGAAGTGTGCCGAAGGCTTTTATTACTTCTCCGTCAAGACCTGTTTTTAATCCACAAGGATCAAAAACACGTTTCCTCGATAAATTCCGGGAGAGAAGTTTCAGGAAGAACCCTGGTGATTAAAGTGATCACCAAAACTAATAAATCCGCTAACCTAAACAATCAAGATCCGCATATCGATCGTAGAAGCGCACATTTGCATGATTGACAGCCAATCAGCAGATTAAACGATTGCTGAAAGAGAACGGCTGCCCATTCAACAACTCTTTTCAAACCATAATTTTGTTTGGACCCGAGAGTTTCTGCTAAATAGTATTAAATTATCAAGGTAGCCAACAAATAAGCAAACTTCATGCTGGAAGAGTTTTGAAACAGTTTAAGAATAGTGGAATAACGTAGTCAAATCAAACGAGTCAGGCATTCAAACAGTATGGATATTAGAGCCTAATAAGCCAAACTCATCAACCTAATTAGTCAGTTTTGTTTGTTGAGAATTAGGACAACGCAAGTGAGGTGCCTCTTCACTCATTGAGTGTAAAATGGGCGTTTCGTTAAAAAATCATCACACAAACTTACACTGAGATGGCAACTTTTGCAAGCGGACAATTTACAAGTCTATGGAAATCCCAATACAGATTACTTAATGGAATGCATCATTTATTCGGTTTTCATAGGGGAATGCAAAATAGTGGCCAGTACACATCCACTTCACCCAAGCAATGAAAACCGTGACTATCAGAAAATATATGATAAGAGAATACGTCAAAACACTGCGTGAAAAGCAAACTCGATTCTTTAAGTCGTGTATGACTAAACAAAGTTATCGTGTGTGCGAATGACTAAGTATACCGGCAAATGAGTATTAACATTCTGTTAATGACTGTGATTAGTGCACCACAAATACATAAAAGCAATGATACTGGGTTAATACATTACCGAAATCGTATTCCTGGATGAATCGCAGAATCATCATAATTTGTTCTACACCTTTTGGATCATCCGCGAAGAAATTAGTCAACCAGTTGCGCTTTCTGCGGAACCAAGGTTTCTCATCAGACTCCGCATTAGATGTTTCAGTCTCCGTTGTGGATAGCAACTCAGTTGATTCTTCGACATCTTGAAGACCAAAAGGAGCATCTAGGAATGACAATGTTGTGGCATCTGCTGGCTCAACAGGTGTCGATTCCGTGGTAGTCGGCTCCGGTGTGGTCTCTGTAGTTGTCGTTGTTGGTGATGTAAGAATACGTGAAAAACTAGGTTTACGGCAGTTGGCAAGAATCGGTGATAGGACCACATTCACCGGCAGCAAGAGTGAAGATACATCTTCTGCAAGACGAATTTATAAGGAAACTAACAATTACACCAGAATTTGTCTAAAGGTTCAAGCTCAGATAAGCTTTTGAAAAATACTACTATTCAATTCTTCTTGATCTACACGTAACGTTACGCAAAACTTCATAAATTGGTCATATATATGCCGCTAATACATCATGTATACTTGCGGCCAACCAAATCTGCATGAGCGCTTAACATCCATCTTTATCATGACTATTTTAGCAATCAAACTTTTTACATGGTGAATCGCAAGTCTAGCTTAACTCCGAACAAAAAATATCAATGCATTCAGTGATTTTGTGCCGATTTATTTGTTGACGTGGAGTTCTCATGCGGCGGAGCTTGGACGAATTCAGATATAAAATCGATGTACCTTGAACTTACCGCCATCAACCAGAACGGTATCTGCCGTGGTGTGCAAATGTTCTTTCTGTGATAGGAATTGAACATCGAAATCGCGATCTGTTGCAGTCACGAGACATATACTACATCAAAGTAGAGTCAAGGTTAGTTGATAATGGATAACAATAGCAAAAAAAACTCCGATTTACCTGTACTCTGTCTCTGGAATCGGTGTGTATGAGTATGTTCGAAGAGTGCGGTGAGCGTGAACCTACAACGGTAATTTAAATGAAACTTATTCACTAAGTTCTATGAAAAAAGGTACTTGTGTACTTCAAACGACATATATACGTATGATGGGTGCTTAATAAAGTTAGCTTTAAGTTTCGTATAAAGTGATAGTAAAAGCAACAAATAATTGACAGCCTATCACAATTGCATTGTTTAGATTGAATGATACATAATCCCTACAAATCCGTTCTTGGAGTTAACATGTAGGCGTATAAATGGACTATTCAGTCAAAATTGAAACTATTAGTGTTTACACTTTAAATCGTGTTTAATCCAAAAAATAATTTTGGCTAAATCCACAAAAGAAAGTTCAATTGCGTGCGGAAAGAAAATTTTCACATTAACCAAAATAATCGCATATCTGCATTCCATGATGCAAAACATGCATCCGTATTGGCAATATAAACTATGAGAAAATGGATTTTGGGACTCTGTCAGATAGTACCTACTGGGATGAACAATCCATTACAGCTAGGGAATCTCAAAGAAATATGCCTATCGTGGCAAATAGGACCTTGTTAATTTCAAAATCAGAAAAATGTATTACAATACGTAAAAGATTAAACATGGTGGAGGATGAAAGCATTTCTTTGTATCACGATGTAAATTCACAAAAATACATAGCAGGCTGACAATTGTTTGCATATTTATTTATGCACGAAGAATTCTCAGTCCCCGTCGGTTTAACCGACATCATGGTGTGACGGCCCACGCCTACATCTATGGCCGTTCTCTGCACTGTAAACAATTCTTTCACAATGGTACTCCTTGTTATGGTTTCAGTTAAATCTCGAGATTCCGGGTAGGCTTCATTAACAAATCATAGACAGCCTTGGAAACTGAAAAACTAGAAGCCAGAAATTAAAGAAATAGAACAAGGTATTGAATTTCTACAAAACACTCATAAAACACCGATAAAATTGTGTTGTAACTTTTGGGTACCCAATAGATGATTTATAAAAATAAGACAAATGAAGTATCTTACTTCATCCATAAAAACAGCGAAGTCGTCCAATATTGTGACACCCTCTTTGTTGTCGATGAGATTTTTACGCACCTACATGAAATGAAGCAAACAAAAGCAAGTCATATAGACCACAAATTAACAAACAAGTGTTTGCTCAATTCGGCTGCTGATCTATCTATACAAGTTGTAGGAGTCAAAAGTTTCTATATTGCGCTTAGAATTACAAAATATCAGTGACTCAGAGTAAGGAAAAGGTAATGCTAGAATTCATAGTATGGAGCCATATCACCAACGAACACCTCAACGGTATATTGATAATAATGACAAAATATATTTTAGAACAAATTATCTATAATAATTTGCCATAAAACTTAATCATTTATCATGATTGATATAATTTTGAGAGCCTCAAGTCTTATGGCCGTGCAAGTCCACCCAACAACTAAATGGGTTAATTTTATTTCACATAAGAAAGAGATTAAGACTTGAAAATGAACTAATTTAAGCTTTACCAAGCAATGTAAGAAGGGAAAATGTTCAGTTTTACCGTTAAGAGCTCTGTAACGTTTGAAGCCTCAATGTCCATTATGTCAATATCAATTGCCTGGGCGGAGAGTTTGCGCTAAATTACAAAACCACAATTACTTCTAGTGCAGGGTAAAGTACATTTTTACATTGAATCTTATTATTGAACTCATAATGGAAAATCTTGCTGTTTTACCTCTGGTATCTAAGCTACTACAGACTGTTTCTGCAAAAGCTAATGTTACTTACATAGTTATTAAATTTGACATAACATTTGATATTACAAAATAATCCAATGTGCCACACCAATTCATTTTCCGTTGGTTTCATGCTAGTAATAAATTCGATATTTAAAATCATCCAAAGACGGTGATATATACTATGAATAAATTGCGTTCAACACCTAAAACAGCTTACGTAAGATCTTAAAAGTGGATGAAAGAGAACGAAGCCATTATTGTCCACCATAAATGCATAATCCGTAGGACTGTTCTGCAAGAAATGTTGTGGATGTGAGTCTAGATAACATTGTTTCGTAAATGATCGCTATAGAATTCTGCAGAAAGCTTACCAAATATGTTTGAAGCAAGTCAACCATTTCACGAGCTGAGACATCTGTTCCCATTATCCCTAAAAGGCTCAGACCAATCTAAGAGAAAAATATACAAAACCGTAGGGATTATAGGTACACAAAATTATTTCGTAGTGATAAAGTAATGCAATATTGGCTTATCTACTACAGTCATACCGTTAAAAATTCGGATCAATTAGAGTTTAATAACTAAAGTTAGGTTTAATTCCATAGAGTGACTTTTATTTACGCGTACAAGAACTTACTGTTCGGTTGTAGACAGCCATGGTTAGGCTCGCCATTGGACCAATTTCCTAAAGTCAAGACTGTAGTGTTAGTATACTAGCTAGATATATTTTCTATTGTTCCTTGTACCTTGGTGCACCGGGCATGCAACTTGAAAGAACTCTACTAAAGGGCAGTCATGCGTTCAGTATGCCAGCAAGCAGTTTCCACAATCAAGCTCAGAATTCCACTTCTTGTATACTTCGGCTATTTTGAATGGGAAAATGTCTGCAGCGTGATGCACAACAAGGTCCAACTTCTGCGGATGAAGTTTCTTAGTTGAACCGTAGTGGGTGGCGTGGTCTGTAAAGTGCTGCAAAGAGGATAATACTTGGAATAAGTGGTATCAATGACGGTACGCTTTATACATTTCATATGACAGACTGAACTCACCCGCAGAATATTAGACAAAGCTCCGATCACGGGTATCTGAGCAAACGCTCCTATTATAAAAAAATCAAATAAAATATTCCACACCGAATTCAGTAGACTGACGACTTCTCTAAATAATGCCAGGAACTTTCATGCATTTCGCTTTATATTTTAATTGGCTAAGATAATTATTTTCCAAATGAGAAGAAAAACTAATGCTTAATCTGAACAATAAAGTTCAGCTTCATGCAGCTAGCATGGTAACAAAAACTCCGATCCACTTCCAAAGTGATGCAAACCTTTTGTAGGTCATAGTATGACAAGAAAAAAATAATCTTATTTTATTTTTACAAATTTAACAAATCGAGGTAAAAGCAATGCCTATTAAAAGGGCAATTACTGCTATAAAGGAGCCATTCAATAAACACGAAGCACATACCAGACTACATCGAATAACAAATTAGTTTGATTTGAAGATCGTGGCTTTTATTATTTCCTGGTGGCATATTTTGATAATTCAAACAGATAAGGGTATCCCAATCAAAAAAAACGGCATTAAGCCTTATTTCCGATTTGACAAGTTATAAAAAACACTTCTACGATGCAGTATAACAAACTAGTTGGGTCGCAGGAAACCTACAAGTTTTCTGTCTCCATGCCGCAATAAATATGCCAGGATGATTTTGAAAGATAAGTAGACAACTACACTACAAATTCTTATAAAAGTAATGTTATAAATTACCATTTATTCGCTTGGTGACTTCTGTCAGTGGTCCAGGTCCAGTAATGGTCGATAATGAATAGGTGAACAGATGCACCTAGATCCGTTAATGCGATGTACACAGGGTTAGGTTAAATAAAAATCAGCTTGAACTATTATTGTATGTTTTAGTAGAAAACTGAGATAGAATTAATTATTTTACAGTTACGGAGCCTCCTGTAAAAAAATTAAGGTACAATTAATGTGCAGAATAGATGTCGGCTCTTCATAAAATATTGAGACCTACAAAAATCAGCTATTGACTTACATAATCCTGATATCGTTCGAGGATTTGGATGGTCGTGTCGTTATACTGTATATCAGAATCACTAATCAGGACGAGAATTTTGTTGCAGTGGGCCGACACAGATCTTTCAGCCGAGAACTGAAATGTTTTATAAGATTGAAAGCAATGACTACAGCAAAAACAGCTTTTCAAGGCAATATTAACTATTAAGCATCCCATCGTTACACTTGCTTATAATTTGGAATAGGGAGTTGAATAGGCTACAAATGTGCAAAGTGTTCCAGTATAATCCCTTGCAGATTTATTCAGTAAACGCAAATGAAAATTGTAAATGAACTAAATAAAGCCTTTCCAAATACCTATAGGCCATTACAAAGAATAATTTAATGGTCATCATACTTTTGGCAATTACGCCTGTTTTAGACCAGCAATGCAAATCCTCAGGAACCGTTTTTATTAAGGTTTGCATTGGTAAAGATCCACAAACGTGGAATAAAAAAAGGGGTGCTTGAATTATGAGGAGAATGGGAAAATTCTTAACATACAGTACTCATCAACTTCATCCCGAATGCGATAGCTTCATCATAGTCTGCAGCGTCATGGGCGGTCAAACGGAAAACGTTTTGAATGACATGCTAAAGAATTAAGAAAAGGTGTTATTTTACTTCAATAGATTCTATTCTTAAATAGGGTCTAACTTGTTTGTTTAGACTAGTCGCCTGAACGAGTGAGTTGTAGCAGGAAACGTTGATAAATCTTCCGTAAATGAGCGATGGCATCAGGTGGGTACGATTGGTTGGAAACTGAATGTAGGACAAAACGATTGATATAATGTGTCCAACCAATGATCCATCGAAGTACACCTTAGCTCACTTCAGTTTTAGATTAGGAGGACACCCTTAGCCAGCAAAGTGAATGGAAGGTTTTAATTAAAAACAATAAGGGAAAAAAAGACGTGAATTATTTCAACCCACCTTAGATGCAAATCACCCCACATTCCCACCTTCGTCATTAGCGCATGTCAAATTACACCAAGTACCGTTAAAAAAGTTCACCATAGAAATTACTAACTTTAATGAAGTAACAATTATTTCTATTAAGTCTGAAAGAAAGCTGAGCAAATGATAAAAGGTAAATAAAAGTATCTAGAAAAGTTGGCTACATCATGACCGTTTGTTTGAAGAGATCAGTAAAAAGAACAAAATACTCAAACCTTGGCTACAGCAAAGAAGTCATTTTTGTTGAGAGTTTCAATTAAAAGCCGCAGGGAAGTGTTGGCCAAATGTAATGCCTGACCGTGCATGCTTCCACTCCTAGCAAAGAAAGTTTAGAAGTTGAGAGTAACAACGATAGTTTTTGTCTCAAAAAAAGGTGACAGCGATCAACTTACGTGTCTACCAGAAATAGGACGTCCTTTGGAACACCCGTGTACTGTGTGTACCTGTTATTAAAGAAAAAATCTTTTAACTTGCACAATCACTGATAAGCACAGATTATTTTCAAATGACTCACTCACCAACTTTGTCGTCGAGCGTCAAGAGCGTGTAATTTATCATCTAGAGGCCATTGATAGCCTAGAATATTGTAAGTTGCGAAAAACCAAAATTATGACAAATCAATAGTAAATAATGAAGCCATCGTTATCAAGCCTATTAAAGCTAACATAGTGTTTTGAACTAAAATCCCATCAGATAACATTTATCACCTATGATCATTTAGGCAGTTTACTGCTCAATTTAGACGTTATGGCGGTATACGCCCTAAACCAAATCGCTTAACTGCTTGCATTTTCATGATAAAAATTATACACTGATAATGTGAGTTTATTGCTACAAATAATTACCAACGAAATAAAAGGTGCAGTGGAGGTAAATAATGAAATTCCATTACGTTAAAAGGGGAAACTCACGTGGATATGTTCGCAGAAACCCGTACTCACTGGCAAAGTAGATGAAATTGAGTGTATCATTTTGCTTCTGAAATATGTGATCCAAATTCGATGTCCAATCGACCTGATGCGCAATAATCGAATCTAGAATTTCAACCAGGGAAGCACTTAACCAACAATTGGAATTTCTTCTTGGACAAAGTTGTTCGTACTTAGAAACCATCTGATTGGTTGAATCAGCTTTTGAGAAACAGAAGTATTTCATTCCAAAATAAGGAGAAATCTGATCATTTCAAAAAGTCTAGGTGCAAGAAAAAAATCACTTCATTGATGACGATTAGCTGATCCTAGAAAATGGGCCGCTTGAACAACAGATTTAAGCGAAAACCAAATAGCAATAAAGGGTTTATTGCTGTGGCGGCCTGGAATACAATTCAATATATGTGAATGAAAACCAAGATTGGATGAACATCACAATCCCTGACCTTAAAGACTGTCGTTCATCGCATTCACCAGGCACCGTGGTAACTAGCTTCAATATGTTACAAGCGGACGATCAAATCTTTTAAGCCGTGTAAAGCATTTAATTCTGCCAAGCAAGCCATGAAAAAGAACCTCAATGTACATCTGTTCTCGCTGCTGGCTGCGTAAACAACCCTGCATTAATGTACAAAATTTGCGCCAACAGTTTAAATGCATACTTTAATTGGAACATAGCTTCTAGCTTGGGAGGTGATAAAACACTTTTGATTCGTAAATAGAACATAACGTTTAGAAGACCAAAAGATAGCACAGATAGGATGGCAGTGAAAACCAACGCGCCAGAATGTAGAAAAAAGTCACCGTTTATGTACACCTCGGAAGGGACGTAGACACCGGATTGGGACGTATTTACGGGTATGTTGAAATAATGATGCCTGGTCAGATTCTCACCCTCATCGGTGAGGGAAACAAATGAAATGTTTTTGAGCTAAAATCAATAAAAGGAGTGGTTATGTAACACTCAACAAAACATGTGCTCTTCGAAACGCAAATTGCCTTGAGCAAAACCATTGCTCACATAAGCAAACTCCAATTAATGAGCCCACTTTTTTAAAATAAAAAAGCACCAGCAAGCTGTTTGAGTTAAGTTATCGAAATTAAAATTTGCCCTATAGCCAAGTTCTATGATAACTCAGTGAGGTCGGCTCTTCAACTGCACGTTAATTCCATACGATGAGCTGATATACATATGTGAACAGATATTCATTATTATTATAGTCACGTACCAGAGGATTCCAGGGGTACTTTGTCGCTTCCTCTTCGACGTCTTGAACGACCTTCTGTAGACAGCAAAACATCTTTCAGACTACGTTTGTGAAAGCAAACTACTTGTGGTTCATTCTTCAGTTCACCAGTAATTCAGTTCGGGAAGGATATCTCACAACCATCACTACCATTAACAAATTTATCGAGAGTGAATTAATAAACGCAGGAAGTTAACCCACGCCTGCTTCTTATTATGGTAAGGCTAGCTCTCAAGAATCGCCTTAAAAGATGCAGTGAATTTTCATCACTGATTCCAGTTAATAAAAAACTATCATTTCAAATTGGGTCTATTGCTAAGGTGTGGGGAATCCCTGAATACTTTGCCGTGAAAATTAATCCTATTTTAAGGTCTATAGACCATTCTGTTATGGATAAAATAAAGCGCAGATGAAAGATACGACACCTGCAGTTGGAATGAATTCTTAACCTAAAGGATTGTAATACGAACTAGTCGTTATATAATAAATGCTAGTTAATTTGAGTGACATCGGCGTAAGTTCACATTACGCAAAACTACTTTAAATGATACGCATTTATTGCAATGCAGCAATGTCAAGAGCGTGTACTACCACTAGTGTTGTGCCGACATACCCACTATCTTCCTAAGACATTTTACAATTTGAAATCATATTCTGAATGTCGTTTTCATAACCCGCCTGACAGCGTTCCAATAATTTGTAAGATGTGAAGTGGTGAAAACGTAAGTTGGTGAACTTAAAATTACCTGTGTATTCTAAATTTGGAAAATCCTTATACCTAAAACAATTTCTTGGACATACGCGTTGAATAAATTATCATATACTTTTCACCATATTGCAGCTTATAAAATTATTTCATAGTTGATCATTTATAAATGGAATTTTATTTCTGTGTGTGAAAATTGTTACATGGATCCTATGACGAGAAAAATCGACTTATTTTAATAAGGGCAACCAGACTTGGGGTCAACGGACGAATCATTTGCGAGCGTGTGCGTGCGCATACTACGGTTCCAGATTGCGGACTGCCACCAATCGATGCACTACCGTGCGTCCTTTCTGCCTGCGCGTTTGGCCAACACAAATACACTCCGTGATCATCCACTTCGAAATACTCTAGTACACTAGTACCGACAGATCGACGACGTTTGCACTCATAACAAGTTGGACGAATATTACACATGCAAAAATGCACAGAACGGGGTGCAATAATCATCCTCATATTAAAAATTGAATCAGGCAAAAGTTCTATAGCAATCAAGCCGAGTTTTGGAAAAAGAATAAAAAGTCTATAGAAGCGATAAAAACAGGCAATGCTACAATATTTTAATATGAAATGTCTCTAGTGGTTCAACAATGCACGGTAATATTGATAAGCCCTTTGAACAACATTGGCGAGCATCAACTTATAAATTGAGTGATTAAACATCTCTTTCCAAAATGCTGGATATAATATAAGGTTATGTGGCAAACCATAATTGACTCAATTTGAGGAAAAGCACAAAACACAATCCTACCTCAAGGGCTTCAGCTTTCTTGAGAAAAAGTTTGTATAGTTTCGACGCATATTCTTTCACGTTTTTCAGCGGTTCCAACTTGGCCAGAGTTATTTTACCTCTCGATATCAGATCTTGATAGCTCTTTACGGAAAAAAATTGACAAATTATTAGTATCTTGAATAATTTCTAGTTAGCATCAATAGGGAAAACAATACTAACTTGGTTTATAATTACAATTAATAATTTCGGCTTATTTTCTATAACCCTGTTAATCGCAAATCAAAACAAATGAATACTGCTAAATCAAATTAATAGAGAAGGAATCTTATGCCGATGATACCCTGTATTCATCCATTAGAGTGTAGTACCTTAACTTGGTTAATGTTAAATGTGAACCATAGTTAATTGTTTAAAAGTGATTCTACTACAAATTGACTTTCCACCGTCCTAACTGAGAACTTCAATAAATAGTAAGTTTATGAAGTAATGGACGCAAAGTTCTATACTAATACATTTACTATTCCATCCCGAGAAGTGCAGAACTGGTATACCCATTTTCATGTTCCCAATATTGAAATATCCCAAGCCATACTAAAATATAAACGTCAAGTAAGTAGAAATTAAAAAAGCCCGTATATTTGTCATACCAAAGACAAATGAGCGTTAAATCCATTTTGGATGGAAATGAAATGTATCTTCATCAACTAAATAAGAAAGGAAGGTCAACTTATCGTTACAACTATTCCATACCAAACTATCTTAGCAGCTTAGCGGTTTTAATGTGGTTTTCAATGCACAATAGTGTTGACATAATTAGAAGGCAGTTATAAAAGACAAAAAACACTGACATCTGAGATTGTCCCGTAAGAACATTCTTCGAGAAGGAGGCTCCGCAGAGTTGATGAGAATTCATCAACTGTCAATGGCTGACTTAAAACTGCTGAGCAGAAAAGTATTAACATCCACAAGCGACCCATTTTCAACAAAGGACAACCAGAACAGCAGTGTTCTTCTAGTCAAAAGACCGGTCAGCGAACTCGACCTTTTAGGATGACTTAAACAAACTGTATTTTAAATATATTTTATATAACTGTGAGACACACACCCAAATGCGAGAATCCCTTTACGAGCTCCAGCAATTTAGGATATAGGCTGACGGGCAAATTATGCTTTGAGTGGCTTTTATATCCTGTCCCTTCAACATCACAAATGAAAGTCACATTAACCAATTTATTAAATACATAGAAATAATAATGCACGTAAAACCACAAAATCAGTTTATATTCTGCTACAATGTATGTGACCCATTACATTCTTTAACAGTGTTTATGGTGCGTGTTTACACACAATGTCTTTAAGAAACAATCCGATTAGCGAATTTGTAAATTATATTTAAGGGGGCTTTGAAGTAGAAAATTAGGTGCAACTTGATGAATCTCGTCTGTACCATCACTTTACGTAGGATTTTAGGTTTTTGTAAAGATAAATGTTACACTCCAAGTCTCCTTCGAATTTGCAATAAGGCAAAATAATGTGGTAGAACAAGTGCCACTAAGGTACAGAAGAGCTGCGAGACCATTAGCATGGCCACGAGCGCATACTGCAGAGTCGAAGCACAACCTCCGGAGACTGGAGCAGCCGCTCAATTCAATAAAATGTTGGACAAAATATCAAATCACTGTGCATCAAATTTATAATCAGTATCTAACACACGTTTATCATACTTTCATTGAATTGGTTTACCGGCTAATTGTCACTAGAAATTATCATCTAAAAGTTCCCTTTCAGTCGGTTCTTTAATTCAATTTTGGACTATTATCGTTAATAAACTTGTTGTAGTATTTTATGTAGCTATAAGCGTTTCCTGTTTCTCTGATTGGCTTTCAGCTTTAAATCTACAAATGTATAAGAATGATATGTGGAAGACTTAATGTATCATTATTGGGGAATCTATATCAGAAACACACTGACCTTATATAGAATCGAGATTTGTATTCCCTTCAGGGGGAGATTGGCTCTGACGTAAGCACGAAGTTCGGGAATGTGGTTGACTCATCACCTAGGAAAGTGGTGTAGTAGAACAAGCGCACACTACACTGTTCCTCCGATTTTTAGCATCGTCTCAGGTGCTCCCTTCTATTAGCATTTCTTCGGGTGCCACAGCTCATGGGACACCTTCTTCGGCCGACGTGTAGACCCTATGGTGCAATGCAACTGATTGACAATAAATGCCTTCTTTCTAAAATGGTTCATTATACATAAAAATCCACCAAATTTGCCGTGTTCTTTAGAGGGAAGCGCAGTTTTAGAAAATCACACAAGGCTACTTTCTTGCAGGACTTTGGATAGCCGTTTTTGTCCCAACATGTTTTTGCCTTTAATAGGGCCTATAAGCTCACGTGTGAAGCTGTAAATTCGTAACCTATCTTCCTCTTTGTAATAGCATTATAGAGCGTTGTGACACTGCACTTCAGTGTTTGGTAGAAAAAAATCAGGCAGCGCCCTTATTTCGCAGCCAGCTTTGTGTATTGGTAGGCCCTAGCCTAAGCATAAGTCCTAGTTCTTTGGTGGGAAGTTTTTAAAGGACATATTAAGCAGTCCAATTAAAATTCGGTTTGCTCTTTCTATATTTCATTGTCCTGGGGATGGCTGAATGTTCTTTGTGCTTTTAAGAACCCGACAATTTTGTATAGTTCAGTAAAGCGTCAAATTCATCGGTCAAAGAAAGCAGGAGCGACCGTGTTAACACCTTGGGTCTTCAGAGGCTCTACTTCGGCAAATTTTTGGGAAATAATCTACCATTCCATGTACACGTCAATTTCCTTTCTCCGCTATCGGCAACGCCAAATAAAAACATTCTCCTTCTCTCGCTCGCCCTCTTAGCGCCCCTTTGAACAAAGGGCTAGGTGACAAGACTGCTGTGAGGTTGAGTCAGCTACACATAATCTAGGTCTAACAAAGTGACATGCTCTGGGTAGCAGGACGTCGCCAGAACCTTCTATTTTTTATCTTTTTATCTACTCTGCAAGGCTCTTTAACGATCAACTGAATTAAGGGTTCCAAAACCATTAAATTCTTGCATACATAGATTTGATCTGATCTTAGACGCTTTGCCCGTGATGATATCTCGTTTAGTGTCAATTTGAGGGACGATATAAGAAACTTCTCGCACACTGGAGTCGCATCAGAATCGGTACTTTGCGATCTCCTTCACTGATTTCTTGTAGGTTTACTCAGAAAAGTGTATTTATCAAATTGGTTACAGTCTTCCGGTTAATGAGTTATCACATGAACTTCCTTTTGTAATTGTACAATGAAACATGTTCTTTAGTTCAATGTACCAGGCGCCCACTGAGAAGTCTGTATCTTTTAATTGATTCAATCCTTCGTGGTTTGTTCTCATTACGAATTTCTTTGCTATCAGACAATGCCTGATAAGCTTAATCATTGTAAAAATGGCAAAGAGTTCTCAGTAGGTCGCGCTTTTCTGCCTCTCATATTTTGAGTTTGGTACTGTGTGCTCTTGATCATGTTCGCCCTTCTATAAGAGTACGTCACCTACTGCTGCATTTCTGACATCGGTGTCCAGAGTAAAGCATTTATCATAACACCTCACCGAGTTATTTCTTCCAAAATTTTAATGCACAATGTATTATTAGGATGGGATCTTTTAGCACGGCCGACTTGCAACCTGGAAAAGTAGGATTAAAGTGATATTCATGCATAGACACAAATTTTGGGGATAGTAGTTTATACTAGAAACTTCGTTTTTGCCCCATTTAAATAAGCCTCTATCTCAATCAGGCTTTAGGTGATTCATACTATAACAATTTAAACTATGGACTATTCAAGCGACATTCGGTTTATTTTTTCAATAGTCTAGGCATAGTTATTTAGCTAATCCAAATGCCAATAATTAACAACATCAAACATTTAAAAAACCATAATAATGAGTTGAAATGATTCATATAACCTTATTATGTCTTTATGGAGAAAGTGGCTATTGATGGTAACCTTGGTATCACTTTTCATTTGTTCGTAAGCTGATCTGCTTTATTTTCACTTTTGTAAGGAGAAGAGTGGAAAATAGTGATCTATACATTACAATGCATTACATGGGTTGTAGAGCATATTTCAATTGCTAAAGGGCGTAGTTCCCAGCGCATCATTGAAGACATGAACAATCTCAAAGCTGCTGACTCTACTCACTATGACCATAGAATCATTCATAAATAAGGCCTTAGGAAGTTTTAAGGCATTGAAAACATTGAGACCAAATTAATAACAGGCTAATGTTATTATTCAACTTAACCACCAAACAAGCATAGGCATAGGGAAGCAATGAAATCGAGCATATTAGTTCCGATTATCATAACGCAATCACATTTTCATGGGAATTCAAAGTGGAACCTTTTTTTATGTCGTACCATGACCAGCCATCGGTTTTAGGTGCAAGACCAAAAAAAACTCGCTTCCTTAGATTCCAATGTTGTGGTCAGATCATATTGCTGCAGCTCCACACGCAATCATGATGGAAACCTTCCAATTCAGACGAAGTACTCAATACAAAAACCGTTGTTTTTGCTTAATATCAGTACCAAATTAAGAAATACCCCCTTTCAGAATGTAAAACGAAAAACTAGCTTCAAGATGGAGGCAGGTGAGAAAATTTTCGCATAAGCAATTATGTGGAATAAAATAAAGTTCTTTATTGGGCATAAAATTCGGATATTTATAGAAGAGAAGGCCTCCATTGCGCACAAAATCATGCGCTTCCTCGTGTAAACGAAAGTTTGCTGACCTTGGTATCCTTCCGATTCATTGTCTGTATTGGTTGTCTCAAGGTCAGACGGTAAAACTACACGCCGTGCATGCATGAGCTATACATTGAACATATGAACCTTAACTTCCATTAGGAATTCTGTATATCACGTGGTTTCTGAACCTGAAAACTGAAGTACCCATAATGTTGAAAGTCAGAAACACGTGAATTTGTTTTTAAAAATATGATTACTACGGGAAGGAAATGTATTCTTAGGTTCGATAGCCTCAGTTTTCATTGTTAAGATTGCATTCCTGGACTGCTGCAACGGCTTAAAATGATAGAAATAGGTCTCCAGACTGTACCCATTTTTGTAGTTGTTGAAATTTTTGCATTTCTTTTGTTCCTTTAATTCAGTGCGTAGGAACTTGAAGCAGAGACCACTATCTGGAGGCATAATTTATGCTGCTGACTATAGTGATCTATTCAAGGCTCATTGTGGAGTTATGGACTGCTTCAAGAAACAAGGTTTACTTGAAGATTGGTGTTTCGTATTTCAGCTTGACCTACAATAACCTAAATTTTAGTAAGGATTCAATCACCCAAATACGATCGGCCTGTTTCCAATTGCCATTAACTGATTTGGGCTTAAAATATGCATGCAACTATAGTTTTGCAAACAGAAGTGTTTAGCTGGGACCTTGGCAAAATCAACAAGAGAAGGACTACGTCACATTATTTTTTCTGGAACTACTTATAGCTTCGGGTTATACACGAGGATCATAATTTGCACTCGATCGAGGTGAAGTAGCATTTCTTTTCTGGAAAGATTTAATTGAAATCATCTTGGGCCATATTTTACATATAACAACTTTGGAAAGTAGATCAAAGATGGGAGAATTATTGATAATGGTAGACTATTACTAGAGCATCTTTAATCAAGTCGGCTTTCTACGGCATCAATCATTGACAATTCTTTTTATTTAGACGAGGTGTTAAACAGCATGGTACGACAAGAAGAGCTAAAAATTTCACCAGAAACCAGTTAAGAGAGGAATTACAATATTGCAGAAAATAAAATTCATTCTGCCAAAATTACTAAATTAGTGATCATTCCGAAATGATCCTATGCTTAAACACTAAATTACAAATTGTGAAAAGCAAGAATCCGTCTTTTAACCGATAATAGTAATCATACCTCATGTGCCATATTATCAGGATAATTGGGCGAGATTTCAAAGCATGGCCCTTAGACTAGGCATTTCAAGGCGCCTAGGTGGGTGTATGTGTTTTTTTTTGTCATGAATTCAGTCAACCCCTTTTGGTAGGGAATATACGCCCACACACCACAAATAAGAAAGTTATAGAGAATAAATTAATGAGTTTATGATGAAATAACTCTTCACACCAGCTGTCATGATGTCTCGGTCGCCTGTATTAGTTGAAATGCATAACCCTAACCTTCTTTGGCATCACTAATCCAGTGAGAAGGCAACAACAGTGACTTAGTGAGCTGACACCTACAATACGAAGAAACTTATAAGCGTTACTGTAGTAAACATTCGTTTCCAAGTGGACTAAACAACTATGCTTATGTATACAGATGATCACGTGAAGAAATCTAAATTGATTTCGAACTGATAAACAGTTCTGAAAAATGTGCTTCGATTAATGCCGTTGTTTTAACTAAGTTCTTTCATAGTCGCAATTAAAGCAAACTGGTAGAATTTGGACTACAGCCTTATGCTAAAGTACATAGTTGACACTGAAAAATGAATGTCTATCTTTTTTAGGATGGGATAAGAAAAAAATTAACTCCTTGTAAGTGATGGCAGAACTCACATTCAATAACTTTGATTGGACCAAGTCGTTTTTAACCAAATTAATAGACGAATATGCAAAATATATTTGGGTTACGTTACATGGACAAACGCCCCAAATTAACCTTTTGAATGACTGCCTTTTCGTTTGCACAATTAATTTGGATCCTGTTGAATTAGCTCATTTCAAGTTACTGCTCAAACTAGATGCGTCAGTGTTCCTATAAAGAATATTAAGGGAAGTGACACCAGACAAGTCATTGCTTTGAATCATTTGCATCAATACCCGATATCCATTTTATCAGTTCTCCTTGTCAGCCCTCGAAATACAGCACTTGCCACGGGGACCAAGAAAAGTCAGAGAAGGCTCGAATAACCCTGTGCAGTGGAAGATTACCAGGATCTGTTTCTCTTCTGTGTAGGTATAGTTTAACCATACAGTTTCTACCACTAAATGCGAATTTCTGGAGCGCATAAAACCAGGGTAATTTTTCTAAAATAACGATTTTAATTATTAACACCGGTCATTATTAATAGGTTCAACTAAATTGACTCAAAACCATTGTAGAACAATCTTTGCGAATAATAAACTCTTTTTGTTAAACAACATTAGCACTTTGGTATTTTATCTATACTAAATGAACCTTTTGAAACTTCTTAAGACTGCTATTCAAATAACCATTACAACAGAAATAGATTAGTCCATATTAAAATACGAACAAACCTCCACCTCTCGTTTGGGGTGACTCACTCCCCTTTTAAAGTGCAACACTTATTTACAATTTCAGTATTGACAGCGGTTTAAAACAGAGTTGTAAAATTCAGTGTCAGTCTTTTTTTCCAGAATCAGGACAAACCAGTTAGCACAATGAGTTCACTCCCACTATCAGAAAAGCGTTATTCACCATTCTAAACTGCAATTTACACTGCAGTAACTCCTGAGTAAAATTGCCTGATATAAATGCCGCAGAAATACGAATGCAGGAATGAAGGTGTGTAAAGTTCCCCCATTAGTTCATGGCACCTTACGTAAAAACCAACTGTTTTTAGAGAGCTGGGAAACTATGAAACAGCCTTAAGGTTCTGGAAATTTGGTGCGGACCTGGCCCACAAAATAACAATGTTTAAAATAGTTTGTAATAGTAAGTGTTTAAAAGTGACCGAATCGAATGTGTGCGGAGTAATTCCCGAGTGTGAGGAGTTTAAAACTTGGAGGCAATTCAAAACCGGTTCATCAAACTTCCACTAACAAAATTTTAAGGTTTTCTGACCGGAAAGAAGGAACTATGGTTGTGGACATTTTCATTATTTAAAAAAAAGGTTGGGGCCTGAAGCAGGATGCGCAAATGGTAGAGATGGGCTGCTTTTACCGCACTTAGTTTGTCTACATTTGCCTGCGTTCCATTGGTGGACACTGAACCAATTGTGGCACAAGATTAAGGTCGCAGTTTAAACAGTGGATTGGCTGTCCTGTAAGTCATCCCCCGAAGGCATGACAGCTAGCATATAAGGCAGGCGCTAAAAGCTGTATTTCCATTGACAAGGCTAATGGCTTCTGCGACTGGCGGCGCTTCGGACAGGAAGTCTCTCCTCCATCGATACCTTGAATTGCCATCCGAGAAGGGGCAGTTCATGGCTACCTACGTGTGGATTGATGGATCCGGAGAAAATGTTCGCTGCAAGACCATGACCCTCTCGGAAGAACCCAAATCCGTCAAGGGTGAGCTTTTTCCAAGATTTCTTCAGTGAAATTGACTAATATATAAATAAATGCAATCAAATCTTATGTGCGTAAATTGGCATCTTCCAATAATTTAATCAATAATTTGTATTACATATGGCAAGGTTTTCATAATTTTTTCCACTGAATGCAAGCTAATGGACAATACCTTTCATTCAGATTATCCTATATGGAACTTTGATGGTAGCAGTACAGGTCAGGCCGAGGGCTCCAATTCAGATGTCTACCTCTACCCTGCGGCAATCTTTCGAGATCCCTTCACTCGTGGTAACAACAAACTCGTTCTCTGTGAAACCTACACTTACGACCAGAAACCCCATTGTGAGTTCAGATAGAGTGAAGTTGTACCGATGTATTTCCATGTTAATCCAAGCTAATTTGACTCATTCCACTCTCTTGAAAGCTAGCAACAAACGTCGGGAGTGCGACGAGGTCATGAAACGAGCCGCAGCGGAGAAACCTTGGTTTGGAATTGAGCAGGAATACACTTTCCTCGATGTCGACCAGTACCCCCTACAGTGGCCCAAAAACGGTTTTCCAGCGCCGCAGGGTCCCTACTACTGTGGTGTAGGAGCTGACAGAGCATTTGGTCGCGATATTGTACTTGCTCACTATCATGCCTGCCTCTACTCGGGCATTAAGATTGCTGGCTCCAATGCGGAGGTGATGCCTTCCCAGTGGGAATTTCAGATTGGACCCTGCGAGGGAGTGGACGCTGCCGACCATCTCTGGATGGCGCGCTATCTGCTTCACCGTGTTGCTGAGGATTTTGGAGTCGTAGTTACCTTCGATCCCAAACCTATGAAAGGCGACTGGAATGGAGCTGGTGCACACACTAACTTCTCAACTTTATTAATGCGCACACCTGGAAAGGGCATAGAGTAAGTTAGGGTGAAAAGAAATTGGTGGGTTTTACGCTCCAAAGTCTCCACCAGCTAGTTTATCATGCTGTCATTTTCGTGACCTTTCAGTGTCATCACAGCGGCTATTGACAAATTGGCACTTGCTCACGATGAGCACATCAAGAACTATGATCCACGTGGTGGAAATGACAACAAGCGTCGGCTGACGGGTCGTCACGAGACCAGTAGTATATACGACTTTTCTTCGGGTGTGGCGAACAGAGGAGCTAGCATTCGAATTCCTCGCCAAGTGAGTGAGAATGGCTACGGCTATCTGGAGGATAGGCGACCTTCGGCAAACTGCGATCCCTACGCAGTCACCATGATGCTTGTCAAAACTACTTGCTTTTAAGCCCTTTTTATATCAACATTCACCCCGATCCCGTTTCTTCAATTATTTGAGCCGTCTCATCGTCAGTCGCGCTTTTATATCTGTTTTGAATATCCACATAGGTACTTCATTTCGTCGTTGATGCAAATAAATACAAAAAATTAGCACCATTTTGTCCTTACCGACTTTTTGTAGTCAGCTTCAATTCGAGAATAGCTAAGACAGAAATCATGTATGAAATGCAACTGAGAGTATCAAAAACTTGTAATGTAAAGACATGTTCTCAATGCAATTTTCTAATAAAATATTTGACACTGAAGATGCTGATTGAATTTAGCATACAGGCGTGATAACTGCGTAAGTGTTGCTCCTAAAAAGATACACTTGCAGTGACTTGTAACTGGCCTCTTACTGCTCACCCCTGTAGCACTTTAAAGAAAAAAATAACTAAATAATTGGCTAATTAAATTGCCAGCAGAGGTAATTTGGTCCTAATTCAAACATAAAGTTGGTAATTGCGGAAGGCGTTTTCTTCCCCCCCTTTATGATGCACAGTAGGAAACATGAAGCACTGCCTAGATTTTGCTAGGAATAAAGTCTAATTCACTCTACTTAACGTTTCTTCATAAACCGACAACTAATTGTGAATAAGCCATTGGACATTTTGCTGAAATTTTAAATAAAATAACGTTTTTCGTAGTCAAAGAGTTGAAGAGATGTTTTATGACCTCAGCGAAAATGCACATTTCGCCTTTGAAGACAGTACTTACACTTCCACCCTATTTTAAAGCAGCTTAAAGATAATAAAGTATCAACTTTATTAGTAAACTTGGGTTTTAGTATTTTGTTTCGGTGTGGTTGATTGCAAATTTCCTCGCTGTTTTTCGTACGCTTGTGACTGTTTGCAAATATTTACATTTCTACGAAACATGGGAACTAAAAATCAAATGGAAATGTTTGTACTGGGTGATAATGTGGGTTTTGAACTTACAAAAGCATGTCTGTAGTGAAGAATACTGGAATTGGAAGAACCTCTTCTTAAATTGTAAGAGTAACTCTAAAGATTTTTCATTATTAGAGTCCCGATTATTAAAAGACATCGTTTTGATCATTTCTCTGACAAAAACCACGTGGTTACACATAAAACACGAACCTCAACAAGACTTTTGCGAATGGTTTTTAAGTAATGCTCTAGGCTTTTATACAAATAGTCGGGGTTCATTTCCAAATAAAAAAGAAATGCCAGTGTTTGTGTGCATATACTTTGCATAAATTCAATGGGCTTCGCCCGTTTGAAAGGGGAATTTTCACTGCATTAGAAAATTACAGCTTTTGCATCTTTCTCGAAAAGTGCACCCTAGGTTATGGTGAAATTCAATTAATAGGTTTAACAAATATCGTATTTTACATTTAACACTTTTTCCGTACATTAATGAGTAGATGTTAATTGCCCTAAAACTGCACCTCTATTTGAGTGTTTAACAAAATGTTTTAACTACATCTTTAAATTCGACTAATAGTAGGGGTAGGATGTAACTACAAAAGTACTCAACAGTTTTAGCGAAATTCTCATTGAGTTGGATCCATAATTATTTTGCCTCTAACTTGTTCGCTAATAGTTAACTCGTCCACCTTGTTTCGATTTACACTATGCTGTTTTCTAAGGCAATTTTACGAAATTACGTGAAGATGGGAGGGTTTTATGACACAGAATGTTATAGGGCGAATATTGCTATTGCAGTCGAGTTTTGTAGAACAAATAAATAAAGCCAGAATCAATTTGATTTCCCAATCTCATCAGCGAAAACCAAGCAGATATCGACGCGCCTGTACAAGGGAGATATGCCTACCTTCTTGACCAGTGCCAGTGAGTGGTAAGGGCGTTCTTTGGTTTGAAATGTCATCTAAACGTAGTTTGATGCGCGTATTCAAACAGGAATTAAAACGGGCAGTTGATCACTTTCTTCTTGAGTTTGTTAGATTTTGCTGTTACCCATATACTTAAAGGCATAATGTAGAAGTTTTTCGATCAATATAAGGCATAAGGAACCTGACTGTTTTGAAAAACCTTTCGGCTTGGTTAACTACGACTCGGAGCAGTTTTGGTGTAATCATAGCCCTGCGCAATCGTATAGTGTAATCGAGATTATTGTTTTAAAACCAATAAACTTGATGTGAAATTTATGCGGAACTGTTTTTATTGTGGAGGCTAATGAATAGGCAGGTTACGCATTCACCAGAAACTACCTTCATCAAGCCGTTGATAAATACGTATCTTTAGTATACAAGGATACAATAAGTGCTTTGGATACGTTTGTTGAATACCCAGACTCACCCATCGCCCTACTACCCACCCTCTAGATCGGAGGCATGGCAACCTTCGGGAGCAACCCGCATACTTACCAGACAATAAACTAAACACTGATAATCACGGGGTTGCTTGAAACTCCTATAGGAAATCATAACCTGTCGCAGAGGTTAGCGCTTCAAAAAAAACATTCATTCCAAAAAGGAGGTTTAAAAATGTTTATTTTGACTTTACCTACCTTCACCGCAAGTCACAGTCTACTAATTTCAATTATTTTCTCTAATAAGGTTGGTACAAGAGCAAAGTAATCTCATGGAATTTGCCATGAAATTGTACATTCCCAGTTGTCTCTCACTTTCTTTTGCCATAGTACCATTTCGGTGTATTGATATGTGAGGAGTACAAATATCACACACTCTTAGTTATTTTTGTGATCGCAAGAATACAGCTTATAGAAAATTCCAGAGTTTTTAAACCAACAAGTACTGCCGTTCTTTAGGATGCGAAATAAAAGTTTACAATTTAGCGATGGATGATGTGTAAAATATATTTGCGCGTGATTTCACAAAAAAAATAAATAGAATATTAGCTATTGATTGAGACCTCTAACACAACTACAGGTATAGTCGCGTGACCAAAGAGTGTTAGCGTAAACATCAAACTAGATTACGTCAACAACAGATTGCGAAAGTGGCTGCAGTCACATGGTACCCGAGTCACAGTCGAAAGCGCACCGAAATAACTTTCCACTGATTCTGCAAGGAGGGACATGGACATTTTACCTCTCGGGTCGTGACAACAGCATACTCAAAATAATCGTGCTTTGAACGAAAATATGATGAATGCAAATTGCATATGGCAACGTTCTATTCAAAATCACCAAGCAAAAGCTCCAGCATCAGTACCCGATCATGTCAATATTGCAAAATTCATTATTCAGAGATAAGTACTCTTACAATTGTCCAAATCGTTTCAAAACTGGGAGGGGGATATGCATGATCTCATATAATGGATAGCAAATTAATTATTTGATGATTCTGCAAAGTAACGCTGAATGCGTGGTTGCGTCCTGGGCTGATTCTTGGTTTAATTTACCTCAAGCGGCTCCCTTATTGTTAGCCTTTCCCGAACAATGATTTCGTTTTGCAAAACAAAAAAGAAATATGAATAAAAAAACAGGGGTGGTTGGTAATATCGGTTTATTATTTATGGTAGGGAAAAATAATGTGATTTCCCTTTGAACGTTTGAGTTTTACGCATATTTGGTGCGCCTCAGTGTATTATAATGCCCACTATGTAGTACCGAATGTTGTGTCATGAGAGGTTTTTGCGCTTGGATTTAGTATTTGCATGTACAGAGCTTCAGTGTCTCAGACTTATCGCGACAGCGGTTCTCCAGGTTCCAGGGCTTCCATTTGATCACATCCGCGGCTATTTTGGCGTGCTTTCTAACTGCAGCACTCTCATCACCCATCAAACATTCGATCTGGGTAAGTAAAATCACCGTATAAATTGAGAGACATTAAAACTTCCAGCCTAAGTGCTTAGTATCAAAGAAAAAGCGTGACTTGATCAGTACCATGAACCTTTGCTTATTTGCATATGATTAGATTAAGTAATACTGAAAAGCATTGCAGATTTCATACTATATTTAATGTAAAAATGGCATGAAAACTGCAGTCAGCGTTTGGTGAACTAATTTTGGGAATAATAAAGAAGCGCTTTTGGACTTACCAATCGCTATGGAACTCATTCCCTGTAAACATATATATTACCAGCGTAAATGTGACACCTCTAAAGTAGATTACCGACCTGTTCGAGCGACTTTTGCAAAATGCGTCGCCCTTCGGGTGCCTCTCCGATGCTAGCCAAAGCCTAAATCGCATTGGAAAATATGCAAATTGCCGGGAGTTTTGACAAATGATGGCATAAAAATGTTCACCTTTAGTGCGTTAACACGGACTCGGGTGCTTTGATTCAAAAGACAACGCAGAAGATTGGGAATCGCATCGCCGCTGAGGCATTCATATCGACCTCGCGTGATAACACATATACTAAAAAAATAAATAACCTATGATTAAAGCTTTTGAATGATGAAATATTGATTTTACATCTCCTTACAATGCAAGAGCTCCTGCAGCTGAGGCTCGAACTTCGGGATCCATATCGAGAAGCAGGTGAATCAATCTAGGAACCGTTTCTTTCTCAATTGCCTGAATTTTTCCACGGTCATTTGCTCTATGAAAACAGGGCAATTTTCGCGTAATTAGCGTACACTAGCCTGAATATGGCCTGAACACTCTTGTAACGAATAGTCGAATCGTGATGGACAAGAAGTTTGCTAAAAATGCAGATTCCATTGGCGTCCAAACCGGCATCAGTGTCAATGGCAAGGCACTTGTTAAGTGTATCAAGAATTAAGACCTAGGTTTTGTTTAAATGAGGACATTCACATAGCTTTGATACCTTAATTTCCACAAATTCATTTTCAAGGTATGCGATCAACAAGGGAACAATATCGTCCTTTACAAGCATTTGGGTATATATAGGATTTAAAACGACTAATTCTATCGAGCGATGCGCATTGAGACGGACAATATCAGGTTCATACAAGGAGAAAAGAAGTTTCATTACGTCGTAAACTTTGGCTTCAATAAAAGCTTTGCGTCCAATCGGGTGTTCTGTAGAAAGATCGAGAGAAAATAATGAGCGTACGGTTGAGGACTATGAAACATTCTGCGGCCATGGCTCGACAAGGCACATCCGGATCTCTTAGCAGGCGTTTAAGAAGAGAGATAACACCACCATGTACTGCCTCAGCAATGTGCTCTGGATCATGTAAGTAGTCACACAAGGCTCTAATACCCCTCTGACGCGTGAGCAGATCACCAGACCCTAGTTCGCGCTCCTAAACAAAAAAATATTAACGGCCAGAAAACTCGTACGTAGTTACTAAGTCTAAATCAATATTGTAAAGATATAGCCTAATTAGGTTATTCTATACAACTGCTATTAAGTGCCTCACTTAATTTAAAACTATGAAATATCTGTCTGCTGTGGTTAAATCAAAAACAATTTGCCGTCACTTGATTGGAAATGCAGATGTTATTAAAGGAATGTAGAAAAAAAGGATATTTTGAGTATATCGAGATCTTTCGATAGACTTAGATAAGTTGGACAGAAAAGCAATGGGGTTTTGGGGGAACACTAACTAAGCGAGGTACTGCCAGTCGTCCATAAGCCAATGATGCTTTGGTGGGATCGATATTTGGTGGTGGCTTTAGACTTATTCTAGATGTAGCAACAATCTTCGGACGGCGATACATACTCTATGCTTTTTGATATACTACTACAACTATGTGTGCATGACAATGCGTAGCTTGAAAAGCATTCGAATGATATAAACAAAGTGTTAAGGTCGATTATGGATTTCCGGCCCGTATTTGAATGGAAAAACTGTGCAAAATAATAATCTACAGTGATACTAATAAAGTCCAACACAAAGCCAAGGACCATGTTTTAATAGTTCTGTCAGTTTCTATTACAGCCTCGTTTCCATTATTGCAAACACAGCCATATATTGCTGCATATATGGCAAAATGTTATATATTATATGCGAAATATGTAGTTACTTTGAACGAAGTATATAATGGAATAAAACTAGAGTCTAACATGTATGTGATTCCACATTAGTAAATTAAATGCAGTACAAGTCGTTGCAATCTGGAATAACGTGAATTAACTTACTGGATCTTAGTCTAGTAACAGTGTGTCAGGTTCAGAATCTTGGTAATTGCGCTGGTAAAGGGGTATTCCACGGGATAACCGGTTAAAAACTATGGCGCCAAAGGCGTCTTTTCGTCAACTTGACTAGTGCGGCAAACGTTTTACAAAAGTTATAATCTGCTTTAAAATTGTGCTAGCGCTATTATAAAACTCACTAATGTCAGTTTCCCTACAAATTCGGTTCAGACTATTATTTGGACCATAACAAAGAAGAAACGTAATTATTCAAAAACTGTTGATCACATTAGATGTCTATTTAAACCCAAGACAAAACTTCAACAAATTCCTTTATTTGTCTCTTGTTTTGATGGTACCTTGACGGAGGCACTTTAAAGTTTTTTGCTTGTTGGCTTTCCGGTTGGGGCTTTTGCTGCTTTGGAGATGGTAAGCAAATGGTCTGCTACACAATTTTGTGCGCTAGCCAGGTACCCTTGGATTGAATCATGTATGCATCCCCATCTTTATGAAATTTTAGTATGGTGCCCTTTGGTATTCATACTAGGTCTTATGTCGATGATAGTCTTTCAGCAGACCATCAGTTCACCGTTTTGGGTATTTATGCTACCCCTAAGATATTTAGTGTAATCAAAACTGGGTTTTAATTTGATCTGTTTTTCGTTAACTGCTTCCTACTTGCTTATTAGCGGACCATTATGTGTAATAACCATTTGAGGTGTAATCGGCACTTTTTTTCCTCCCCAACATGGGGCCTTAGTTGTTTATTACTCACCATTTCTTGCATGTTAGATTGTGTCTGCCGAAATTATGTGACGGTCAGCGTCATTATTAAGTGTTTTTGTGCTTCCTAAGAATAATAAGACCCCGGAGGTTGAAAGTGAGACGGCATCCAAAAACTTATGCAAACGTGGGTGCGGTTTCTACGGCAGTGTGCAGTTCAATAATATGTGCTCCAAATGCTACCAAGAGTTTCTAAAAAGTGAAAAATCGACTCAGACCTCAAAAAACGTGTCTGCTACTTACCCACCGCTAACACCCAACCAGTCGGTTCTTTTGAATGATTTGGACATATTGAAAAAGGCTTCTCTGTCCCGTCCTGAGACTTTTGCCTGCAAAAGGAAACTACCTGCATCTGAGAGTTCAGAATCCTGTAAGTGCTTTATCTTTTCGCCTTTGTTTAATCTTGCAATGCCTTTTGTAATTTTTATTTTGCAGTATTTTCAGTCGCGTCTTCTGAATCAGAAACAGTACCTGGAACTGGTATGTGCTGTGATTGCTTTCGCTCCACTTTTTGTCTTTGAACTGAATAGGTTAATTTTGCCTATTTATTTACTTCATGTTCATTGTTCCGAGGAATTTTGTTCCTGTATATACGCTTATTTCTACAGATTTGATTAACATTCCCAAAGTCCATGCTCAACGTACGGTGAATCGGTGCCAGAAGTGCAAAAAGCGTGTTGGTCTCACAGGTATTACGAAGTCTGCTTATTACAATCATTTTGAGGGTAGTATTACGATCTTTCCTTTGGTTTCCATAATCTTTCATTTAGTCACATCACTTTCTTTGGGAAGCATTCATTTGTGTTTCCTAATGCAATTTGGGATGAGGGTTCCTTCGCATATGCATTTATATGGCCTCACTACTGTACAGTTGATGATTTACATGCCCATTTTAGTGCATAATCGGTGTTTTAAGAAGTCCAGTGAAATTTGGAAGTGGGTGGCTGAGATTTGATGAATTTCCGATTGTTTCGTAACCTTGGTTTTATTTTGGATATTGGAAGTTTTATTCATGCATTCTTGACAAAATGAATGTCGAATGATTTATTGAAGCAGGTAGACCATTATCTATCCTCCCGTTGTGAGCTTACGAAGTTGTCTGTCGGATTCATTTTTATTTCTGCAAAAGAATTGAAATTCTACACGAAAAGCTAGCTGCATTTTTCCGAATTCTATATTAAGCAAACCTCTGTGATATTTTGAACCAGTGTGCATATTGTAGTGCTTATTTCATCCCAAAATGCCTTTCACCTAAGATGCGCACGGTCACCGTCTCTTACTGTTCGATACTTTCTCACCAATGTTTCACGCAGGATTTCAGTGTCGATGCGAGGGATTGTTTTGCGCTCTTCATCGATACTCCGATCAGCACGATTGCACCTTTGACTACCGCAAACAGGGTCAAGATCAAATCGCCCGTGACAATCCCGAGGTGCGTTGTCCGAAAATCCGCAAAATTTAGCGACTGTGCGGCGTCACTTTTAGTCTGCTCCCTAAACTTGCTCCTTCGTCTGCTGCTTTCTCTCCATTTGTGAATAATACCTCATTCTTTCGTCCCTTCCAATCCTCTTACTTCTCCTAACCTTTGTTTTAGTATTACTTTACGGTTTCGTATGCGTGGAGGCTCCGCATTTTTGGGTCTCCTCTCATCCATACTGCTCCATCATTGGCGATAACATCATTTCATTCCTTTTTGTATTGGTACACAAACATACTGTCCTTTCTTTGTACATATACTCGCCAACACTGGTCGCTGCGCCTCTGCTACCGTTAGCCTACCCACTTCTCAGGCATCATACCTGCGCCACCTCGATGACTTTCCGTTTCTCTGTCGAGGCGCTCGCTCTCTATCTCTTATTCCCCTAGTTCCTGTTTTCTAGTACGATACGCACTGGCGTGTGCGTATAGTGGTTGGGGCCATCTTCTTCCACTACATCTTCACTAAAACTGAAATAACACTTTATTTCATCGCGCTTCTATTCAGCTTGTCAGCTCACTGACCTTGGGCTTGTGCTATTCCCAGAAATCTAAATAAAATATTAGGGTGGCACACAGATTTGAAGTGCCTTTCACTTTCCTTCAAAAGATTTGGTGGACTTACTATTTAAATTTGAAGTCCTTCCTCATTGGTAGCGCTACGACTTCACAAAGTAGGATGCTTTGCATTTGCCAATTCGGAATGAAGGGTATTCACTGCTGAGCGTCAGGTGAAGTCGGCATCGTCTGTCGGAGGACTAGGTGTTGGTGCAGCTTTTGGGAAGATGAACGGATAAGTAAGTCAATTCTTCATAGAATTTTAAGACCGTGGGTTCTTTTTAGGCTATGGTTCAGATACCATGGGATTCAGTATGCTTAGGGAAGATAGAATGTGTTTACGGTACTTTCAGTCCTAATTGTATCTCGGATGGTCTAGTTGATTAATAACTTGGTCTTTGGGAAGGCGACAGTTTTTTGAGGATGACTTCGTTAGATACCACAATTGGGATTGTTTTCATGACTGGATATAAATTCAGGATTAGCGTGAAAATAAAGTGGTGAGGGCATTGGCTATTTCAAACGGTCCGAGCACTTGCACTTTAGAGCATTCGAACCCTAAGAAGTACATGCATTTAAAGCAGGTTTCGATATTTTGGAACTCTTTGGTCGCATATCTTCATTCTTTTTATAGCTTGAAGTCGGTATCATGTCTGGTGTAATTTGTTACTAACGGCTTTCAGCGTTTTGACCCGGGGTCGAAAATAGTGGTAGATATTTATTGTTTAAACGAATATGCAACTTCCGAGTATGCTGGAAGCTGACCTTGTGTCCATTCCACATGCATGAATTATTATCTTGAAGTACTTCAGTTTCTCTCTTGCTGGCCTTGCATGCGTAGCATCATTTTGGTAATGCCCAAGTCCATCTTTCTGTGAGGTCTAACCGTTCAATTAAGAGTGATAACTGTGGGAAAAAACAATGGAAGAATGCTAGATGTCATTGTTTCGGCTTGCTACCCATACATCTGTAGTTCTAAGAAATGTAATTTATTTTAGATAATACCACTTCGAATCCAGAACTGTCATTTAATTGGCTCAAGTTTTGATTCCGAGTCACGGCACTTTGATGGTTGCGGTCATCGGAAAGCTCGCTACAAATATAGCTACTAAATAAGAGATGGTGGTGTTCCCTACCTACAAAGACTTTTTTCAAGGCACCGTCATAATTAGTGGAAGGAACTTAAAATCGATTCCATGTGTGAGCTTTGGGATTTATCAATACTTTTAGCCATCTTAGCAATTTATCGGGTTTTCCTCACCGAAGTCATCTGATGACAGAATGGATGGATGATGGCCTAACAGTGTTGTGAATTATCCAAGACTTGTGAATCGATTTGGAGCTTATTTCTGAGTTGAAGTTCCACGTATCGAATTGGGATGAGGCTAGCACTTTGCTCCTTGGGGTTTTGATTAGCTCGTTTGATTCGCACAAATGATGGCGTTATTTTTGAGCGACATTGGCGTGTGCTCCAAATCAGGTGACAAACAGCTTGATTAAGTCCCCCATGTTCATTAATTCTAGAAGAGTTGGGTACGCAAGCAATGCCAGTGGAAAGGCGTCTGCAGTAACGGATTGTACAATCGGGTGAACGAATTGGTTTAGGTGTACGTGCATTCAGTGTTCAAATGCATGTTTGCATCAGCAACTAGCTCATATAAACATAGGTGTCGGCAGTTTTGTTGGAAGGTCAAACTAGTTCCCTATAAAGTATGCAGGTTAGACCACTTAAGCTTAATAAATGAAAGCTGGCAGTGTATTTAACACACATGAAGTGTGCCAAAAATGTGGCATTTTAAATTTATTTATGTGCATCTACTTCTGCCTCTACGTAGTAATTGACTTCAACTGTACTGATTTTCGTGTTCATCTGAAGACTTCCTATGAATTCAGGTCAGGTTTTGTGCAAGTCTTGTGCAATATCAGTTGGTTGAATTACGCTATTGCCGAAACAGTAACAAAACTGGCTGTCGCCATAATGGGTATCGTGGTGCGCACTTTAATGTGTTAAAATCCTTAAAATCTCTTTGGAGGCAAATGGTGTCATATGGCCACTCATCCATATTTTGGTGTTGATGTTGAAGAAATTATCACCAGTATTATGGCAAATTTTATTAAAATTGTCTTAATTAGGCTATTCATTAGTGGCTCCATGTGGAGCTGCTCTTCGACCCCGTAAAGGCTCACAGTTACTAGGGTCAGTATGCGCATGTTTAAAGGTAGGATTCAATTTAGGTTCACGTCACTAATTTTACAATTCTAATGAAAATATGGAAAACTAAACTCACCTATTGAAACGATGAATACATAAAATAGCCAGGTATATCTACTTTCTAATGTGTGTTGACCAATCAAATTCTTAGTTTTCTGTTATCCTTTATTTCTCCACATGGAAGTAAATAGCTCCCCAAAGCAAAGCCAGTCCATCTCAGATTTTCCTGGTCATAACTTTCAATGCTTCTCAATTGATATCGTGCTTTATATCTGCGCTAACAATATTAGAAGCTACTGATATGTGAAATCATTCTCTCGTTGAGAAACGTCATATGAAATACCCTCTGATTTTTACTAATTTATTTGATGATACCTCTTTTGGTGGGAAAAGAAATGTTGAAAGAACGTTACTGAAATGATGCAACATCATCCCTCCTAGTATGCTTGGTTGATTTGTGCAGTTATCGAAGGGGAACTTGTTGGTAATTTTCCTGTCTAGGTTAAATGTGCGTAAGCTAACTTTGGGAATTCTCCGTTTCTTCGTGACATTTGGTTGGCTGGGCACCATTTCACACTCAGATCGGCTGTTTGATGTACTACAAATGCGATTTTGGAGTTTTGATCAGATGTTGTAGGAAACAACGTCTAGTTTTCTTATGTCACAGAGATCATAAAGCAAATGGAATCTCCCAAAACTTGCAAATGCTGTAACAGTTTACTGATTTTAATTTCGAAAAATGACTCTAACATCTTTTCGCAGTATGACAGCCGATCTTGCAACCAATTTTATCGACTATGAAACGATGTGCTCAACGAAGAAACGTTGCGGAATACGAGACGATCTATAATTTTGTGTAAGCAGCAACAGTACTTTAAAATTAGTAATGACTTCAAAAGAACATAATTTTGAGGCTCGGATAATATTGTAGAAGCCCATCTATTCCTTACCCAATTACTTCACATGAATTTTAGAATAAGGTATTTTAGAACCACTGCGTTACAGTTGGTGGACCAGTGGATCATTTACCTACCTACGTTATCAAGCTGACTCATTTCAATTGTGGTTTGGCAATCTGACTAGAGCCATTGAAAATTCAATGTTTATGAATTGGAAAAGCCGAATACTTTGACATTTTAAGTCACGAAATGAGCCCTCTGGAAACAGAAATGCAGTTTTCGTTTTTGATGTTAGACAACTGAACTGTTTGAAATTAGGGTTAAATGCTGTTATTTAAACTGATTCTATACCGTATCCAGTTGTTCACAAACAAAGTTGTAGTTCTGTGGAATCAGCCTATGCGTAAGAATTGGAAGCGTCATTGTTTTAGTTGACAACAATATGGTGTCATACGAATTCGGGAACATTTCCAATGTTTGCATTTTTTGGACATTGAATTCATATAAGTTAATTTTTAGCACTTTGGTGCAACTTTGTGGTGATTGATCGGGTGGTAGCTGGAATGAGCTGAAGATGTAGTGGATACTTCCAAAATGAGGTCGCTGAAGCCCAAAAATTAGTGCTCAAGTGAGGGTTATTGGAACATATTTCTCCTCATATAAAAGCAGAGGCTGGCACATGCCTTCCCTTAGATGAAAGAGCACTTACTGTCTCTCTTGCTGCTGCTGTGTCAGCGTTTCTTCGGCTTAGAAATGATGGGTAGGTAGGTAGGTAGGTAGCAGGCAGGCAGGCAGGCAGGCAGGCAGCTAGCTGGCTAGCAGGATGGGTAGCGCGCACTTACACGAGATACGCACCAGCCAGAACGCGAACGATAGGCGTTGGTGTTGGCTTCACGCTAGCCCTCATTCGCACACACGCCTACGACGTCTTCGTGCACTGTCGCAAACGAGCCTTTGCGCTTCACCCAACTACCCAAGGTTTGATGCGCTGTAGACTGGACTTTCAAAATTGGATGCTGTCTCCCCTGGGTGATCAATACTTCCAAGGACATAAGCAGGAAGCTTTAGTGTGACGCATAGCATGTTGGACTTTGGGTTTGAATAGTATCAACGCCATGTGGATGTGTCACGAAAATTCACACATATAAGTTGCTTCAGTGAAAATCACACGAATGCCCTTGCGAATGAATTTTAGCTCCGCACTAGTGGAGGCGTTTTTCAGTATCAACGTCGTAATGAGGTGTTCGAAGTTGAAACTGTGGGCGCTTATTGGAGATCGACGGCTGAATTAGGCATGATTGGATGAGGTCGCACCCGAACGAGCAAATGCACAGACTCCGCGAACGTGGTGTCCTGGGTTGGGGCGGTTAAAAGCAACATGTTTGTATGGAAATTAGTAATGCTGATGAAACGCAGGCAAAAGTTTGTCAATAGTAGCTATGAAAATATCTCACAAAGTTTGTAAATCCCGAAATTGTCATTTTTTAATTTTCTATGCTAAAACTGCCTCGGAGTCTTGGTATCGAAGCAAATACAGTATACGCATAAAGTAATTGGTGTGACCAGATCTTTCATGGTTTAGTAAACACCACGTAGCTTGCATTGAGCATACACTTAGGTGTGGTTTTACTTGCTTTCTGACAACCGTTTGTAAATCCCTGCAATGATGCTGTGATTGTTTCTGTGACATCGTAGAGTGCAGTGCCAACATATACTCGGTATGCATTTACAAATTTCAGTACATTTTAGAGCTTAAATTTTGAGGTGAAGTGATTTAAGGGCAAAATGGTGGAGGAATTTGTTCGGTTTTCAAAATACAAGGTGTCACCGATCACAAAGGCAGATTTTAATGTTACATTTGCTCCGTATACTATCCACGCAAACAAATTCTGGCTAAAATCAACACCAAATAATTTCCAAAACAGTCTTGCATTTGCACTCTTGACTGTCTATGTGACCGAAACAATCAGCATTTAGTTTTCTTATAATTTCAAATAATTTCCCTATTTTTCTACATAAACCGCATCATAAATAGCAAACATTTCAGCTGGTGGATATCCTTCTTTGATAAAACCCTAGCATGCAGGAATAAACACATTTGAATTAATATTGTGGTGCGAAAGATGAAGGCGTTAGGAGTGGAACTAAAATTCATGGGAAGAACGCAATTTAACGATACGCCGAGTTGCACAGTTTGAACCTAGAATGGTCATGTGTGACAAATGTTTCAAGCGTATCCGTAGAAAGGATCAACCATCTCCCTCAAACATGAGTTCCCGCTTTAATGACAATTCACATACTGGAAAAACGTGATCCTTCTGGTCGACTGCATCAAGAGCTTCCCCTGAAATTAATTTTCGAACTTACAAAAAATAGATGCGAGCATGCATTAAGGACATCAGACACAAGGATAACTTGGGCTAATCACACTGAATCACCCTTTGAACTCCAATGTCCCGAGGACAGCTGAGTAACTGTGTCTTTTTACAGCCTAGACAGCCACGAAAAAATCTTTCACGTTAGTCCTATTGTTGTGTTTTAAGCTGAATATTTGTTTTCCTGCTTGATCTTGCAACAGTCATAAAATGATAAATGCGGGTTCCTTGAATAATAGGTGAATGGCGAGGACAGTTTTCGCAGTCATGGGATAAGTTCGAAAACTAATTTCAGGGGAAGCTCTTGATGCGGTCGACTAGAAGGATCACGTTTTTCCAGTATGTGAATTGCCGTCATTTAGCATTATAAGCTTACCTGCTGCCCAGTCGATGGGTGTGTCAATAAATGACAAAGACTGTATTCAAAAAACACAGTGGACATAACATTCATAAGTACAAAATTAATCCATTTTTCAGCAATCTAAGACTCAGTTCCCAAAGATACGATGGTTGCAAAATAGGTGATTAAGTGATCATGTGAACAGTTTTGAGTCTATAATTGCCAATTGCATAAGACTGATGACCTAATTCAGAAAAAAGGGACTCATTAATTTGGTTTTACTTACTTGATAGCTAAGAGGGACAGTAAAATCAAGTCAACAACAATCAGTAAATGCTGAGAGAAATAGACCATCCTGCCTTCCAATTACTCACTCATGCAGGGGTCCACACAACTTACTGTGTAGTGGAGTCTAAGCGACATGCGTCACAGCCTTTGGGCAAAGCACATTAATCATAACTGCCTTTGCCTGAACAGCGGATTCGCTTCTGCGGACAGAGGTAGAAAAAGCCGTTACAAAGTCCAGGTAGGTAAGTTGAGTCAATGTGGGTACGTACGTGGGCGCAAAGAACACATTTTTTGTAAGAAGCAACATTAACGCTTTTGTCCACAATCATCGACGGTTAATTCACAAGACCTTCATTTGTCTTTGTTAAACTGGATTTCTTTGATCCCCTAACAAGCTGTCTTCGATTCGTGATTAGTTATTGTTTTATTAGTTCGCTGAAGTACGACAAATGTAATTTGTGTAAGGTAGTTGAATCAATGAATCAGTGAATGAATGAGAGGCATATGACGTATTCAATGCTCTAACAATTGAGTATTAAGGCTAAAATTATGATTTCAAGGATAAACTATCCCAATACGTTGATACTTCAAGTACATCATCTGGGGAATAACAAAATTACAAACCGGACCACCTATATGTATCAACACACTTTTCACGCCTCTTTTTGGTGTCAAAAGCATTGTGAAGATGTACTTGCACAATTTGAGGACGTACTGCTCTCTATAAACTACGCATCCTATAGAGATATTCTTCACTGGGAGCACTTTATGGGTCGAATTGGTGCGAGCACCATGAGATTTTAGCTTTTTTGGTAGCGATTAAGGGTAAAAATATTAGATTTCCTTCTTTCGCTCACACACTGTTAGGTATGAAGTAGTGTTGGCAACCCTGACAATATTAATCGAACGTTTTCTCAGGTCTATACAGATAATTAGGATATAAGGTACAGCGAGCCTTTACCATGCTCTTACACGGTAATTTAAGGATGGTAATTAAATTCCTTATTCGTCCAATAGTAACAAAATATGCCTAAATTTCAATATCTCTGTGTAGATTCAAGCCAAGGTCTAACTTGGTATAATTTTGGGTAAAGGGAATTATCCGTTCACGGTAAAATTAGGCTAATTTAAAATGCCTATATTGGACAGGATTAATAAATGTATGTGTGGAAGTCCTCCCATTAAAGTGCGCAAGTCCCACCCTAATTTTGAAGAATTTTTACTCTAAACTGGAAAAAAAATTATGAGGATTTCTTAATTTATTTAAATTAGAACCTTTTAATATGTACGAAAGATGAGTAATTCAGTAGGTATAACTTCACTAAGTTCATAAAGCTGCATAAACCTCTTTTACGAGTTGGAGATTCAAATCTAGCATGGGTCGCTTTCCAAAGAAGGCATGGCTTTCAGGCTTGAAAATGGCGGTGCACGTCCCAATCGATAATCCAAGGCATGCGAGTTGCCAGCCCAATAGAGTCGGGTCTTGTTTTGATTTTTTTTGTAAAATTCACGCGCAGTGACCTCTTGACGGATAAATCTCGTGTCCGAGGTAATTGCACCAACTCACAAGTCGAATCGTGCCTTCCAGGAAGATGTAAAGTGGCTCCAAGAGAGTCCCCAGAGTTGTACACTTGTATTTGTCCCCGCACCACCTACTTAACGCGAAGATTCAACCCCCAAAAAGAAAGTCTTTTCCAAGTAGGCTGTGCTTCGTTACCCTACGATCCGTGCATGGTGTGTCATGAGAGGAACACTGTAAGGTGTACCCAGGTATCACCAACCGAGGCATTGTGCCAATGCTATTCCGAGTACAGTACGGCCACCAATTGCCACAAACAAAAGAATCCCTGTTTAGAAGTTCCATTAGGAGCCAGCCTCTCCGGCGCTGCAGCCTGCAAAACCGATGAAGGTAATTTGTGCATCCCCGAGCTGGGTACAGAAAGGTATACTTGTGTGTGTCTTCATCCCTTTCAATCATCAAAAACCCAAACATTCCCCAATTGTCTTGGTGAACCTGAAAAGCTCTGTGATCGTCAGCTTTGCGTGGGATTTCGGCCATTCAGACCCAAAGGTATGACAATCACCCCGCAACGAGTGATCGTTACAAAAGATCTTGATTCGACTGAAAATGAGCATGCAATTTGTGCTGGGAACGGATCCTGTCGATGTCCCAGCAATTGGTATGGTGAGCATTGCACGCGTCGGAAGGGAAAACCTCGGGAAAACTCATGGACCACGTGGTCTCCGTGTCACCCGGATTGCTTGGATACAAGCATTCTTTCAGCGGTAATGGGAGTCTCCGGTGTGGGATACAAAATTTCAAAGGCTATCTGCACTATTCAGGAGCCTCGTTTTTGCGAAGGAAAATTTAGAACGTGGATCCGGTGCAAGGTGACTTCACTATGTATCAAAGAGAACCAAAGATTTCTCACCTTTCCACCCGACGTTGCACTGGCAGCCACTAAGGCACTCAAACCGTCTTCAAACAAGGTACATGGTACTTTGTGTTTATTATTCTTCTGGGATTAGGCAAATTCAATTAAATGCCCAGTTTAAATGTTGCTATGGTAGTATAGTCGCCCTATTGTTAAATCCAATGTCTTTACGCATTTAATACATACACAAACACGAAAGCTAGTCGCTAGCGCTCACAACCAACACATTAATTCCTTTGTTTCTTGCTACCTTCAAACAAACAGGACAACTCAAATAAACTCAACCTAGCTTCAATTCAACGTTCAGGTCAGAAAAATGCTACTTTATTCCCTTCACATCACTAACAACATTCTGGGTTGGTTAATCAAACTGTCCCTGCTAATTACACATAGGTAAAAACAAGAACTTATTCGGCACATAGGAGTACATACTTAAACAATGAGCTGAATCAAAACAATTACAACAAAATTCTGATTTAATTATGAATATTGATTTTCAGCACGCGTCGGCACAAACCGGTGTCCCTGCTTCATTATTTTGGAATGAAAAACAATGCTTATTCACTGTGTTCATCTCTGTCACCGTATTGGGATCTGTTCTAAGTGTAATTTTTATGGAAATTATAACCGCAATCCGAATGCCCAAAGAGGAAATTCGAAGAAAATCAATTTCAAATGTTGACCACCAATGAATCCGGTACAGACGACATTGCTTTACTTAATAATCATAAGTAGAAATATAAGAGGCCTGGAAAATACGTTTTTGAATCAGTTTGTGCATCAAAAGCAACACAAAAGGCACTGCTGACGAATGTGTCTATGCGTAAACATGTAGAAAAAAATTTGGTGAGTGACACAGAATATTGAAGATTCAAATGAACTGTTAAGACATCAAGAGGGAACAAGGGTGAAAAGGATTCCAAATAAGTATTCTTTCAGATGGAGTTTTGCATAATTGACGATCGAACGGTAGCCTGAATTTGCCTCTGAAAAACTAATGAAATTGTCGGATATACCCTGAATTAAATACAAAATACAATACATTTCGGTACAGCAACAAAATAATTCCCGATTCTTTCATTTGCAAACAAAATTTTCTCTACTCGAATAATGAAAAAAAAGACGAAGCAAAACAGTTGCGTGAACAAGCTGAGTTAAGGAACGAAATAACTAGTTATTTAGTTAATGAACATTTAAGGAATTACTTAGTTAATATACTAGAACCATCAAAAATTAAAGCTGGTGGCTGACGTCATTTTTGATCCACGTAATAGTGGTATAAATAGGGTGTTCAGGCATTCTATAAGTAAAAATTCAAGGAAAATGGCCACCACAATCGCTTAGACGGAAAAAAAATTGATCAGATACTTTGGAGCAATGCATTTTAGGTCACCAAATATGCAAAAACGAACACTGCATGTGCTAACGGAGAAGATACCCAACTTACCCGTTTCCCAGCGTATTAAGAATAAAACCAAGCGATTACTACATGACTGTCAGAACTCAAAATAACATGCCTATTTGGCTAGTTCCAATGAACCCGTATGGTTCCAAAGCTGGCCCAGCTATGCGCGTTAGATCCTCTAGGGACAAATCAATCAAAGTCGAGGACAATAAGCTGAATTTACCATTAATAGAATAGTTTGTAACAGGACTAATCCAGGTTTAAGTAATTTTCTTATTTACAAAGAATTTGGTTTGCGTAGGATTCCCAGAGAGTCCGCTCTTATACGAAGTCAAAAATGTGAAAGTATAAGCATGTGCGCCATTGTAAACACATGAGCTTCAAATTACAAACGTCGCTTGATGTAAAAAAATTTAATCAGCAGAGCACGATTGTACATATCAATCCCCACTACTCAAGTTTCACCATGGTAAGAAAACCAATAATGATTAGTGAAGACATTACAACGTAAGGGTAAATATTTTCCTTGGGCCTGAGCCATCACCTAGAGACTGCGAATGAAAACCACTAATTACCTGAACACAAATTGGCTCGCTTTTTCTTATGGCATTCGAGACGCCTCTTCCAAGCCATTCATACACGGGGAATAAGGGCCCTATGCGCGTGGACCGAAGCATTGAATGCAAAATCTCTGTATCGATAATTTAAATGAAAGAATGAGACGGGTCCCCTTGAAAATATTGTCAACAATTAAAGCCGCAAAACATCAATGATATGGATCTTTCAGAATGGAGAATCGTGACTAGTTGAAGATGAAATATGAATCGCATTAATTAGTTATTACGTATTTGATTTTACACTTACTTTCCGTGCATTTTGCTCAGTTAAAGCACTACATCTCGATAGTTCTTCAGTTTAAAAGATTTATAATTTCAAAATCTCGACTTCGCTCTTGCATTTCAACAGCAGCATCCCCCATTTCTTTCGAATTCCACGCATCGTTTCGGGTTGATAAGTGTGCTGAAAGAACAATTAGTTCGCATAAGACGGATAAAACACATTTTAAAGCTACTTGGGGAATTGGGCCAAAATTACTACAAATCGACTTGTATCCAGGATCGAGAAAGACAACATTTGCCATAAAAAAGCTGCGATGGACATCACCAGATCATGTAAAAATCCCTCAAAAGCATCGCTACTATTCCCAAATCAGACAACAATAGGACGAGAAATTGTAACGCTGTATTCTGAATACCGATTGCAATATAAAAAAGAATGCTAAACCAACACAATAAGTGGAACCAGGTGTTCAAGAAAACGTGCTACAAAAACTGTAAATTGCACTCAATCTTACCAGGAGAAGGCCTGAAATTATATCTACAGCCCCGTAGGTGTATCGGAACGTTTTACTTTCAAATAAACCATTTTCTCGATATCACGATTCTGTAACTGCATTTTTGATCGCATTTTGACATTTCAATTTAAGTACGAAAAGCTAGGCAATCAAGAACGGTAAGTCTACCGGCCACCAAACCTGCAGGTCTATTCATTTTAATCGCAAATCGCAAGAGGGAATAAGACAATAGAAGCCGATCCCGAATCGACTTCTTCAGCATTCCCATGAGCCACCGTAAAACTGGACAAAAAATACGGCAGATCAAATTTTAGCAATTCTGTGACATTCTTCACTTCATAAGAATGTGAGGAAGTTATTATCATCGGAAATAAACCTTTTTTCAGATGAAATGACCGGAGAAAAGGGAACAAACAAAATGGAATATGTGAGGACATTCATAACTTGCAACAATGGCATGCAGAAATCGAAACAATTGTCACACACGGAGCCACAACATAACATTCCAATACTCCAGAAAACTACACTATTAATTCCCGACGTAACGACATCGTAAAGGAACCAGCCATCTACAGTAAGAGGCACTGGAAGGTCGCACAAATCATAACCTAAAAACCTAGGCTCTTACAAGTAAAGCAACACAAGAGATGCCTTATTAATGTGGCTGTATAAGAATTATCTCTCTCGAAGAATGGATACTGCCACGTCTATCTCAAGATAAAGAAAACAACTTGTAAATGAAAATCTAAAACGCTGCAGAAGGAAGCGTCATACACAAAGAAGGCGCCAACAACCGTATGAACATTTAAAGCGTAAAGCACCCCTGCATGATTCAACACTTGCACCACGTACCTAAAATGTGTTCGCACCTATATCGCTTTAAACACACAGTGCAATTTTTATACATTTTAGGCATTTTTTTGCTGAACGTAGATGTTTTTTAACTTTAGGCTAATTTCGTAATTTGTATCCTTAAAATGACTGAAGAACGCATGTAACAAACCTCTTCATTCTGTTTAGTTTTTAATAAAGTAAAGTATGAAACATATTTCAATATAGTTTTTTTGTATAAATAGTTTTTTTAGTTGGTATTGATTTTTGTAACTTGATTACTTGCGTGATTGAAATATTGCTAGGATATGGTACTTTTTACACTTAAAAGCAAACAAAGCAATACAAAACGGCTTGTAAAATTATTCTTCTTGTTCTACTTAACTGCCATCATCCCGCCCCACTGAATTTCACTGACTGGTAACATTATGCCCGCCGAGTCGTTCGAGGAAGAGGGGTTAGAGAGGATTCCTGACCTCCGTTTATCGCAATGGCTTTTTGAAGCAAGCCTAAACAGGACTACCGTGAAATCGAGGTCGCGGCTGGTTAATTTAATAATGGATGTAGTTCGGTCAGAGAGTATGTCTCGATTCTCCTTGTTTTTTTTTCTATTTTACCTTTTTTGGTTATGTTTTTTGGTGGCGTGTCTTGGAACTTGCCTTTTATAAGGCACCACTAGTGTTCAAGGCATCAGTATGTACTCAAGCATCACAGCCTTTGCTGTTTCGGAGCATTGAGTCCATAGATTGTTAATATACCTTCCCGTTGAAGCGGGAAACCTTTCTTATGTGCCATTCTATTATTTCGATATCAATCTGGGAAATGAGGATAGTTATGTTTACCACAAATTTTTGCTGTTAAGTAAATCCTTGCGTTTTGGGGGGAAATCATTGTGCGTTCCGCCTTTTCTAGTATGAATTCCACTGTCTCGTGTCACACACGTCTCTTTCTACAGTCACTTCCCCACTTTCTTCTATCACTCATTAGCTACAGATTTGTGCAGAATTTGTGATTGGCCAGAAGTACTGATTTTTATTAGAAAGGAAGTAAATCCTTCTATCAGAGCCTTTATTGTACTAGAATACAAACCGAGCAATAGTTGCGTTGTTCCTTTTCCACTTTAGATATGACTCCATTCTATAAAATCGTCTGCAAACAACTACATCTTCTTGATAGTCAACAACTTATGGGAGAGATGCAGAGGGCGAACGATGATAGACTAGAAGAGTTAGACGAAAACATTAAAAAGGCTGAGGAGTCCGATGGAGAAACGGAAATCCGTGAGGCGATGATTGCCAAGGCACACTATCTCAGCAAGATCGGCAACAAGATGGATGCTTTAGCCCAATTTCGTGCTATTCTTGACAAAACCGTACTACCCGGATGCCGACTTGACATAACGTTTCACCTCATTCGTATGGGCTTCTTCTACAACGATCGGGACCTAATTACTACCAATATCGAGAAGGCGAACAGTCTTATCGAGGAGGGAGGCGATTGGGATCGCCGAAATCGGTTAAAGGTTTATCGAGGCCTTCACAGTCTTTCTATTCGTGACTTCAATGCCTCCGCTAAGCACTTTTTGGACGCAGTTGCGACTTTCACTAGCTACGAATTGATGGATTACAAGAGTTTCATCATCTACACCGTGCTTACCTCTATGATAGCTCTCAAACGCCAAGATCTTCGTGCAAAGGTGGGTTCGCGTGTTAATTTCGATCTATTAGGCTGTTGAAATTATGTATGTTTATGTGGCAGTTAAGGAGAGGGTCTTTACACCTATTGGGTCCGCTACTTTTGTACTACTAATGCATTTTCATTAATTCTTGCACACCTTTGCGACAACCCTATAATAAAATCAAATGAAGCAAAGGAAATTCCGTACAGATCTAGCAGAAATCACTGGATTTGGTTTTCTGAGTGTCAAGCTCTATTACATTTTTCTTTTTTGCGTTAGCGTAATGGTGCTAAATCGCTAATTAAGAAAACAAACGCCCTACTGCAATTTAAAATAGTTTGCTCATTGCTACCATTCTGCCAATAAAGCTAATAGGTATTTCAAGAAGGATGAAGAGGGGATTCTCTCGGGTTGAAAGATGTTGTAAAGGTTTTTACGATTGCAAAAATCGCAGCATTGTTGCCGATTGGCAAATAATTTGAATGTTTTGCAAATGTAGCTGCAAGGGATGGGATTGATTTGTGTTTGAAGTAATGCAGATTCAATAGGTCAAGCGTTATTGCCATCGCAGCATGTGCAATTTAATGTTTCTTTGTGACTCGCTCAGTTGATTGATACGACGCTAAGTAAACTAGTATTAAAATTGCTTTTAAGTAAAAAGGACTTTTATTTTAGGTGATTATGGGGTCCGAGATACAAGAAGTCCTCCACAGCCTTCCTGCTGTAAGAGAGTATCTGATGTCTCTCTTCGAATGTAGATATGCAGACTTCTTCTTATACTTAGGTATGTCTCCTTTGAGGTAATGACATTGAACTCCCCTTCTATTGTCGTCTTCAAATGTGGTAATCTGGCGTTAGATCTCCGTCCAGTATTCGCCTACATAAGATGTTTAAATAACACCACAACTTATTACTTAGTTGTTTATTTATATTATAATACAAGTAGAATATAAAAAGCAACAAATGCTTACATTTAAGGCAAAAAATGGCTGCACTATTTGTTAACTATTACCATCTCATTTATGTTAAATGAAATCGTATTCTGTTTTCTATTGTACGACTTTGCTTAGTAGTAAAACTGTTTTGAGGGCGAAATCATGACAATAATTCGATCTAAATGGATTTCTTACAGATATTGTGTGGTAGCGTGTCATTTAGACCTTGCCCATCAGTATTATTATTTATAGACCTGGCTCCGTATTCATTTTATGCTTCCATGTTTCTGTGATACAATACGCTCTGTATTGGGGAAGCAGCTATGTATTTCTTAGTTTACTACGAAGCCTTTCCGTCACACTTGCTCTCACTTTAAAGGCTTACTTCAGCTTTTGTGCATATTTGCCTAGTAGCAATGAACTTGAGTTGTTTATATCTCTGTTAGTGTTGCAATCGTGTGTCTGAGTATTACCACGCTCAGGAGTCCGATATGCAAGTGATGTGAGCGTAAAAGCTGTCTTGTGCATTGGGATACGAATTTGGCGTTGTATCTACACCAAAGATCACTTTACGATCGTGTTGGCCTGCATGATTACAGGGATACATGCTTATGCACACTTTTCACATTTCCTTATGCGACGCGAATGGATCAATAGGTCAGTCGATTTTTGCTATAGATTGATCCAATTTGCTAATTAATATTGTAGGATGTGGGAATTGGTCGGATTAACACATTGGGCGTGAGCAGCGGCTTAAACCATTAACTATCAATAAATTAATGTAAATGAATAGTCGGACTTTAGCAGGTAGTCGTAAATAAAACTATTTTACATGTCCTACCAAATCTGAGCTAGTTACAAGTTGAAATCGTTTTTAAGGCGTCATCTTCTGCGACTCGAACTGCTTGTGTACATATAAAGTGGGTTTGTGTAACGCGCTGAAGTTATGCATCCTCGTCTTATTTCCAACTCACTAGGGTGGAAATTGTGTTCTTAATTATCTGGACTCCCTTTCCCTTCTTGATTGCATTTAACCTATGTGTGTGTATGTAATTTATAGTTGCGAATCGCTCTTTTCCACGCTACCACATTCTTTGCTCATTCTTGTTCCTTCCCTCTCAGATAAGGGTAGGTGATTCGGTGAAGCCTACTAGCTCTCGTGTGAATTGGCTGAGGATTAGTTGCGCGAACACGAATGTGTCTATGGAGCAAATACCTTTGTTCAGAGTGCTTATTTGTTTCTTCTCAAATTGGAGAATACGCCTTTAGGTTGTTTTGGCATTTATACTAAATTTGTCGCTTTATCTGGAAATAGGTAGAAAAGTTGAGAAAATTGTCTGTTTTATATTTACTGTGTGTGGTTCTTTCGCTAATATCTAGTGCTAACAGATGTCAATGTGTCCCATTCCGCCATATTTAAGTTAATCTATGATTAATATGCCGTGTTTATGTGCAAAAGCTAACGTAACTTTCATAAGCAATTTTAATAAGCCAATTGGAGGATGATGAGAGGGAAGAAACTTCTACCGCCATTTTAGGCGATAGCGGTCATTTCACGGAAATAAGCCTTAAGCAGCATGTCATGATTATAATTTTTGAATAGCTAACACTGGGTTGCCTTGCCTAAGAATGTAGCTGTATTTGCGAATTTCATCCTACTGTTTGTTTTTCAATAGTTAAATGCTTAGTTTTTGTGTTTTATTACATAATTTCTGATCTTGCTTAATTAATAGACCAGTTATGGGCAAGTGGTCACTCAGTAGGCCCATTTAATTATGCTTCATTGGTTTAATGCATTTCTTGCCTTTGATAACACTCAATTAAACCACTTGATCGGCCTCCTGTGGCAAAGTTAGTATGCAATCAGCGACACTTTGCCTGAGGTTTCTGATTGCTTGTTAGGACCACTTAATGTCGAAAAGAGGTGGTGGAAGTCTACTCTATCTTGTAACTGATTGTCCAATTTTCCTACTCGCAATCTTAAGTCATAAAACTTGTTCCCTACTAGATCTATTTTATTATTTTAAGTTACGTCAGAAAAAAATTAACTACCATATAAGTCACCATACCAATATAAAGTCTTGCAGTGTGTTTGAAACATGCAGATGTTAGTGGAATTTGCATTTAAAAATTTTTGCTAGTTCTTCTGAAGGTCCACGATACACTCGTCTTCGTATCAGACTGGTGATAATGTAGAAGGTGCTGTAGGTCGAAACAAAAATTCTGCAAATTTGCCTCTTAATTAAGTCATCTCTCTTTACTCTATCCATGGCGGGATTACAGAAGTTTTCTATGAAGTCGACGAGAAATACAATAGTGAAGAATATAGTCATCACTACACCGTCTAGCATGAGTGCCTTCTCCAGCTCCACAAGCACCAAGTGAAGTACATTGCTTTCCATGCCGCTCTCGTCTTCAACACCAATGTCCTCGCCTTCTTGGTTCTTTCCCAGGGTTATTATTGTCTTCCTATAAAGGTACACTATTCCACATGCTGGTAGAAGGTAGAGATAGACAAAGCTATAAAGACATATCAAGTGTCCCACTATGAGTACTTTGTGTCTGGATTGATCGCTGCTGTTTATCGGCACACATGTTTCATATTCGCTGGTATTTAGCTGCATTATGTCTCGGATGACTGGCATTACAGAAACCATAACTGTTCCCGTGGTGGTGGTTAGGATAAGTTTTCTGAAAGGCAGTGGGCTTGTGGTGAAGGGACAGAGTAGTTTTATGTAATTAAAGGTTGCAATTACCAGGTTGGTCACTGCGCGCATTCCCAGGCACATATCAAAAAGGCTCCCATTGGTGAGGATGCAGAAAAAGTGAAAAAGTGGCGTTTTAGGGACGAGTAGAAAGTAACCCAAATTACATAAGATCATAGCCAATTCACTTGTGCAGTCTAGTGAGGTTTGCACGAAAGCTATGAAGAAGGGTACGAGTGTACGGCCGTTACTATCATGCATTCGTCTGCGGAAATGGTTGGCACAATATGTGTTCAGGAACAATCCTGGTATTGTCAGCATTATTGCTCCACCAGCCGCTATTTTGTTCGTTTCGCTTCCCATCACAGAGTTTATAAACTTCCGGTAAATTCAAACCCCGCAATTATCGATTTTTTACCAAGTTGTCGTTTATTGGCTAAGATTTTTTGAATGACAATAGGGTAGTTTTGCGTTTTAGCTGGGGTGGAGCAATTCATGCACTCGGACCGCTATTTGGCGGCCCATGCGCGTTACTACGTTCGTGAGATGCGTATCCGTGCCTACACTCAACATTTGGATTCCTATAGCAGTCTCAGTCTGGAAAGCATGGCTGCCACTTTCGGTGTAACCATGAGTTTTCTTGATGCTGAACTCTCCAGGTTCATCGCCAACGGTCGAATCGCTTGCAAAATCGATAAGGTCACTGGCATTGTGGAGACCACACGTCCGGACAATGTCAACTCCCAGTATCAGGTTAAGAGTTCACATTGCAAGCACTTTTGTACATGTCATCCCAGCGTGCACTCCTTACTTATTACTTTATACGTGGTTTATTACTACAATGTTTCAGAGAGGAACATTCTATTATGAGAATTAACGACTAGTTTTTCGGCCCTTTTTAATGGAAATGATTGTCAGATTTCGTGAAAATGACGGTTTTTCACGGAAGATGTACAATTATTACTTAATTTGTATCTATTTACCAAATAAATGCTTGGATACACGTTAGTGATAGCACTTTTCAGTAGAGTTAGTGAAAATTTTAATTAAGCTTTGTTAATGTTAATGAGCATGACGCACCTGGATTTCGGTCATTTGCAAGGATAAGTACTTTTACTGATGCCCTAACTACTTTCGTTCGCTTTTTTTCAGGCAATAATAAAGCACGGTGATGTTCTACTCAATCGCATCCAAAAGCTCAGTCAGGTTATCAACATATAAAGTGTTGATGAAATGCCATTTTCTATTGTATTTGTTCAGCGTGTCATTGGCAAATAAATAATTTGCACAAATTCGTGCTTGTTTGTCAACTCCCGAACAATTTTTAGAATTTAGCATTTTCATCCAGCAAGATTCGCGAGGGCCCATCATTGAGCTTTTTTGACTCGAATGATAACATGACAAAGTGGACCAAGTAGTGGCTGTGAAAGATTGAGCTAACTTCGTGTTTAGCTAATTTGGCTACCTTTGACAAACTCATTGTTTGTACATCCAAGTGATTGCCACGAGATTCTAACGGCAGTGGAGGCTGGCAAATATACGTCCGTTTGGATTCATGATGCTATTTGTCGGAGCTCTTTTTATGAGTGTGGACGAACGCTCACTATCCTGCAACTCGAGACGTGTAAATAGTTATTGTTGTACTCCGATGGGAAAAATTCCATCACTTTACTGATGCTGTCTCTCTGAACTCACCGTTTCCTGTTTTGCGTTCTCTTGATGCCGTTAAACAACATTCGCAGTAGTTATAGTCATCGCAGACTTGAGAGTGTGCCAAGGAGCTATCCTGTGGCAGAACCTCATGGATGTCTGTTCTCCTCACCGGTGTTGTGCGTATGTTCCTGATTGGCCGACAAAGATCTTTGATGTTTGGCCACCTACCCCTTCTTTAACCCTAAAGCGCCTCCTCTCCTCCCTCCACTTTTCGTAGTTTTATGCGCAGGTGGTGGGGTGCACTGGCTGTGTTAATTAGAAATCTGCGCACATTTACAGCGCCAGGCGATAACACTATAAAATTTGAAAAGCTGAGGCGAACCAGTGCATGTTTGATTCCTCGACCGCATTCCTAATTCTCATCTCTATGACTTGTCATAGTGACTGTGGCTCGGTCTCTGAGATCCGTGGCGCTAGCGATTAATGCTTGAAAGGATCTCAAGTATCGAAAATGCCACAGCAACTTTTGTTGCTTTGCCTAATGACATTGGAAGGTTACGTCACGTTACTTCACTAAAATCCTTCATAAGAATGCTGTTTCCTTCAAACACGGCCTTATATTGAATGTCCGTAGCCATTAAAAACGGATTTTGTCAACTTATCAGACAAATATTTCGTTGAGTTGTTGTTTAATTCTAGACATCTTCATTACTAATGGCTTGGACTTTATCCAATACGTGTGAATCGCCAAGTCTGGAGCAGCTTCAACACAGATAGCTGGATGGGTTCGGTTTAAAACATCACGTTTAAGGTCCTGAGCTCAAATGCAATTATTATAATTCGGTGCTGATGGAGTCTTTTGTAGCACCGGTTTAGCGTCTACCCATTAGGACGGTGAGTACATTCGATGCTTACTGCATTGGTTTGGCACCTGACAGTGTAATGTGATGCCATTTCATTTAGCTAGTTTTATGAAACTTCTCGAGTATACCGTGGAATGGAGCAGTGTTTCAGCTAGGTATCTACAGCTGATTTTCGACGAATTCGCAAACACAGTCATTAGGTAAAACAGGTAGCCTTGCATTGAATTGGAATATGAAGAAGGGTGAATGTGCTTCTTTACATCTGAGACATTTCGAATCGATTCACGGGAGCTCAAAATGGAGAATGAAATCCTGGACTTTAGTTGAATTTTTCTTCCAAAACTTCAAAAAACTTAGAATAGGATTTTAGATGGCTTCATTTGAGGTCTTCACATCAGTTGATCAACCGACCCATTTAATTGTTGTGCTCGAAGAAGCTGTACTTAAACTTCTTAAATGATGCATGCAGCAACGAAATTCGACTATCTTGCTGTATTTATTATTAAAAACTGGATTCACTGAGTTGCGTGACAGGGTTAAATCTGTTTTGGTTCCCACAGTCATTAATTTTTTGTGTGTTGAGTGAGAATAAAGCCATCGGGTTGAATTTGCGACGAGGCACGGAAATTAGCAATAAGTTTAGTTCCTTCCTTTTTAAATGGAATAGATAAATGTATAAATTATGGGGAAGAAGTAAAAGCGCAATTTCTATTTGGAAAATGCAGTTGTTAGCAGAAGTTGCAATTAGTGGAAAATTGTTTTTATCTACTTATTCATAACTGGATCATATCTACAAAACACAATAAACCCCGCCCAAATTATTAACCGTTTGCCACACCACGCGTGGACATGAAGAGTTGCGAAAAGTGTGCATGTTTTGTCTTAACTAAACTAACTATATTTAAAAATGGAACCTAATTGGTATTTTAATTAGTTCACGCATTTGTTTTTGGATGAAAATTAGACCTTTACTGTGCAAGAAAATGATGAGATGTAGAAAATAGTTATTTTGTATTTCATTTTGATCTAATTCTGCATTTGGGCTAATGAGAGGACCTAAGAATCAATCAAAACAACGACTCCAATACGGCGAGTCTGAATTCGTGGTTAACTTATCCAACGCTTTGCACACAGCCGCTTGTGGCTATTTCATGTTACTAGACACGGTTTTACCCATTGGTAGTGGCGCCAGCCTCCAATTCTGAAGAAATGTTGGAACCTTAGGCAAATTGGCAACTAGTGTATCTAAAAACAACTAAATAATCGTCGGAAGATTTGTAAAAAACATAGGCCACACATGAAAATATATTTCTTTACACCCATATAAAAGTAGATGATTCACAGATGAGACTACCATCTTAGTGTAGCGTCCCGAGACTCCCTGAAGACGAAAGAAGACACAATACTCGGGCAGAATATATATTCAGCACAGAGAAGGTGTGTTTGGGCTATTGGCATGGCCCGAAAGGCTAGCCCACCCAGCAAGGTATCCACCTGAGGGCTAATTCAAAGTACGAAAAAGTGGCGCCTCACCAATACCGAGGGGTAAACCACCATCGTGTAACATTAGTGTTAGACTTTTCGGTCACTAGGGTACAGGCCTGAGTCATTGCAAAATAGTTCAAAAAAGTTCCCTTAATGCTAATAAAATGTTTGTATCTGAAATCTCCCCATAAATCTTACCTTTTCGTTTAAATATGGAGTAAAAATGTGTATGCGTAAGAATAAAGTGGTTGTTAGATGCTGCCTAGTTTTCACCTAAATATCCGGTGAGTTTCGAGTAATGAAGGCAGCGCACACATGAATGTTTTTCTGAAACAACTTAGGCATCATAAATGTTAGGAGAGCTAGATCCCAACATAAACTAGCGAAGCAGAATAAAACCATTTAGTCAAAATAATTGCTAAAAATAGACGTGCCGCCGCTCCCACGAAAGCAAGCGCAGACCCATATGTCAAAAACAAACATAACTTACAAGCGCACTGATCTTAAAACATTTAATCAACATGTCTAAGTTCGATTATGTAGAAATCATTTGAACTCCACTGAGCAACTTGAAAGCAATGAAAAAAGGATTGTTGAGCAAATTTAGAAAATTATAATGCTCCAAAGTCTTGAAGTATTTTAAATGGAATAAAAATTAAGTAAACAGTAAAATTTTAGGAAAATGAATATAAGGGTAGGCGCTGCACTCAGGTTATTTCTGCGAGTCGCTTCCTAGAGAAACAAATAATGTAATACAAGAAAGTTCACTTTCTTTTCTTTATAGTCGAGGAAATGGTATGACCAAACACTTGATCTTGTAGTTTTGATAAAATAGTTCGGACTTATGCAGCTAAATTTCAAAACTGTGTAATCTGAAACAATGGTTTCCTAGGGGTTAATGATATTTTGCCAAAGAATTGGCGTGCCTTTTACTAAATGCAAGTTTATTCCACTTAACTATTAATTTTCTTTGGGTATAGGAGGATATGAAACCACTTGAAACAATGCAGAAACGGGTATAAATCTTCCGTCGTTTTTACTTTTCCGCTTTAAAAGAACATATTGTGCTGGAGGCTGCTTGTGCTTAAAATAACAACCAGATCAGTTAAAAGTAAAGTGTAAAACATGACGTGTCAAAAGTTTCGTAGGACTTAACGACATAAAACTGCATAGGGTAAGCGTTTCTGGAGGAATTGCTGAGGTTAACTTAGTTGTTTCACGTTGTTTGTCTTATCTTTATCTTTCAAGTAGCATATTTTTTGTCTATGTTGCTAGATGTGAAAAGTTTTAAATATTCTCTTTAAATTATTCTAACTTAGGTAATATTGGAGCTCGTTTGTCTTTTAATGTGGGCTTCTTTGATGTTATAAACCTCTATGCGTTCCCTTTCAGACGAACCAAAATGTTTTATTAATAAAATATTCTCAAAGTTGATAATCTTAGATCCACATTTTTTTTCTTTTGGAATATTCGGCTAAATTCGTTAAATTTTTATTAAGTTCACAAATCTTTTGCCCTCAATTTCCCTACATCAGATTCCATATGTGCAAGGAATTACAATGAAACAACACCATTTTTAAAATTTGGTAGGCAATGTTCTTAAGATTATATTTGAAGAAAACTGGGCCAAAGTGTTACACTGGATATTTTATTTAGGACGAAACAGAAAACTCTGCTTAAATAACCACTTGTTTGCGCTAGTAACTCAAAGTACCATTATCCAAGTAAGATTATGAGAGTGACAAATGCGGGATGTTCACGTTTTATGCGAAACTTGTCTAAGGCTCTGCTTTTTTTCGAATCCAAAAGTGATTATTAAGTCGACAGAGTCTCATCAACGGTAAAATGGAGAGCAATTTCTATCGGACTGATAAATTCGTTTTGTCTTCATCCACAATGCACACGGGAAGTCTGGATTTCGGGAAGACAGCATTGTTAAGTAAGCGAGAAGGGGAAGGAATTTATTTGCGCAGAATCTTAATGCCTATAATCCGAAAATATAACTCTTCTAATGGAATAATGTAACAGTTAAAAGTGCACAGTTGATGGGTCATCCTGGTATACCTTGTATTTACCAATTACAAGGTTATTAGAGTATTTATAGTACAGATTGATGATTTACGAGCCCCCCTATCTCCATTTTTAAAATAATAGGAATAATTTAACCATTTTTAATGTTTAGGTGACGCTTGTACCCAAAATAACCAAAATATTCTTGTT